TGCCGGAAAGAAGGTACGACGATGAGTGTTCCCTTTGCAACTTCAGTTTGTCTACTGGACTATTCGCGCGAAGCAAGATCTGGACGGCAATGGTGGTTTTCGTGGTTGGATTTGCGATAGCAAGCAGCCAGGCACACGATCGAAAATTCGTCTCAAAAGTTGCAACGCCAACATCAAAACAGAGATAACAATATACAACCGGGTAGCCTACGATGTTTATTGTGTCCACGGATTTTCAAATCGCCATCGAGGAAGAGGAGGACAAATATTTAGCCTGCGCAACAACCGCACAAAATGGTTCAATAAGAGTAGTCCAACTGACGACTGTGTTCAACGATAGGTCGTCATAATCCAGCCATACGACGCCGGCTCCAAAGCCCATCCATTCCCTTACGCCCTCGTTGTCGGCATCGAGAGATACCCATCAAAGATCACCCGACGAATGGGCACCAAGAAGGTCGAGAAGAGGAGCAAGGTTAAGCCCTTCATCAAGACCGTCAACTACAACCACCTCATGCCAACCCGTTACACTCTCGAGCTTGAGGGCCTCAAGGGTGCCGTTACCAACGATACCTTCAAGGAAGTTTCTCAGCGGGAGGAGGCCAAAAAGACCATCAAGAAGGCTTTGGAGGAGCGATACACCAGCGGAAAGAACCGATGGTTCTTCACCCCTCTAAGTATGTTTCTTGAAATCTACGGACCGCATAGAGAACAGGTATACTAACCAAGCCCATGTAGGATTCTAAATAAAACGTTTAATGGCCCCTTTTTGTCACTTTATCTCCCCAACATTTTCCCTCTTCCTGAGCTAGGACGGTTCTAGTTTATGATGAATGCTATTTCTCGTCTCGTGCATAGATACCAAGTTAAAATGGACATCCAATGCAGAGCAGACAATCTATCTCACTGATACGATGTCGGTTGTCTAGCAAAAACAAAACAATAACAATGACACTTGAGAAATATTCCGTTTGGCCCCCACATATATATGCTCTTTTTATTGAATATGTAAGAGAGAAAATGAGAGACCCCAGAATCTCATCGTAAGGATGGTCACATGCAATGTGGTGCCACCACTGCCTTAAATCGAGGAGACGGCCTGAATCATGTAGAAAATATCACAAGCCGATCACCCGTCTATGTATAGAACAAGTCTACCAAGCCCCAGAGTTTGCATATCGTCTCTTCACATGCTAATAGAAAGGACTGCTAGGCTTCGAAGTCTTTTTTGCTCCTAAAGATGGCTCCATCTCGGCTGCATCCGAGCTGATAGCTAAGATATTTAGCCTCATGTCACCGTTCACAGAGCTATCCGTGTAGCTAACTGTATCTACACATCTTATCGCCCATGGATGATAAAAGAGCAAGCTATCATTACGGTCTAACAGGACGGGACTACCGAAGATAACGGCCCGAGCCAGGGTCAAAATGGAAGGGTGAGGTTTGAGAGGGAGAAGAGACACCAGAATCCATGCATCCAGCGTTTCATGGCCTATCTTCCAGATGCAACTCGGAAAATATAGGAGGATAAGGAACAAGCCCGGCAGGCCCAGTCGGACCTGTATGCTGCAGGCAAGTAGTCATCCCTTAACATAGCTTGACATCTATTATTACAAGCTTCCGTCGCCCTCTCCACTCATGAAGGATGAAAATGAGACAGGCCAGCGCATCCCTAGCGGATCCGGTGGCCTAGTAGCTTGAGTATATGTGACTGCCATGTAGTTATTCGCACTTCGTGCGCCGTGCTGTGTCTAATGCTTCATTTATGCACAGTCGATCCCTAGCACAGGTAAAGCTGCTGCCTGCAAACCGCCTATCAGAAATCAAAATAGCGTGCTAGCCGCCTGTTATCACCCAACACCAGGCGGCCCGGATCCCCTTAAAACACGATAGACTCATCCGGCTGCGTTTTTGTCCCATCCACAAGTTCCCGGACATCTCCTGATGCGAAGAAATGGCGACGAGCGGCTATGAGTGAACTACTACCTTGTGAAGGGGCAGCCAGGCTGTAATTCGCCTCGTTCGGTCGGTCCCTGGAGTGGCGACCGGACTTCCTCTCATTCTCCCTCTTGTCTCCCGCTGTGTGCTCCATGCTTGGTTGTTTTTATCATTGATAAGATAAACTATGAGAAAATATCGCACTTTCACATGCCAGAAGTCTCCTCTTGGCGAGATGGCTGGGATTTTGTACTGGTACTTGCGGGTGCTGTGTGGTTTCGGCGCAACGGGTTGTATAGATACCCAAGTGATATGGCCACAGCTAAGGTACCTGGCCACTTTCACATGTGAAAGCACGCATCTAGAAGAGCACAGAAGAGTAAGAAAACAGGCAGAGAGCACTTCTGGCGTTTCTTGCGGTTGATTCGCTGCTTGCAAGCGTGCTATGAAGCAGATGTGCTTTGTGAGTCGATGCTCGAGCGCCTGATAAATATAAAGCCTCCCTCCCTCTTCCTTGCTGTCCACTTTTGTGTACACATCCCACAAACATCACAGTCATCTTCATTCCTCCAAGCTGATAACTCGTCTCGTCTCTTATCTGTATTCTCCAATCTCAAGTGTCAAGGTATGTGTTGCTTTGTCTGTCTGTCTCTATATATACCTGCTAACCTACCCCTAGTAGCTCCAACTACCTAACCATCATCCAAAATGGGCGAACAACCAAACACCAACGGCACCAAGCCCTCCTCCCAATTCCTCTCTGTAAGTCAATCGAAGAAAGTAATGCAATGATAGTGGAAAGGGCATAGCTGACCCTCGGATAGCATCTTATCTCCTACCCATTCATCGCCGACTATCTCGAGACCCTCAAGAAATCCCCCTACGGCCAAAAGTCCATCGAGTATGCCGACAAGAGCATCGCCCAACTCCAGCCATACTTCCCTTACCTTGCTAAGCCATACGGCTACGTGGCTCCATATGTCGAGAAGGTAGACCACTTGGGCAACGAGGGCCTGAACCAGGTTGACAACACTTACCCAAAGCTTGTCAAGGCAACCGAGGACGTCAGGGGAACCGTTCAGAGCTATTTCCGCGTGGCTGAAGATGGCACCAAATACGTTCGATCAACCTACGACTCAGAGTACAAGCTCGCTCAGGGTGGCAGCCCGATTGTGTCCCAAGGCAAGGCTGCCGTCTCTACTGGGTTGATGGTCACATCTCAGTACCTGCTCTGGCTGAGCAACTTGATTATCCCACACCAACAGAAGGCACAAGAGAATGGTAATGGCGCCGCTAAAACTTCCAGCTAAATTGGTTTCTTCTCTTAAAGTTTCAGCACTCGTTTCATACCCTAAGATATCCCATTAGACGAGCACGCGTTTGCTTAGTCTAAGTGTTTGATGACTCTTCTATCCTTCTAATCTCTTTCAATTCGTATGGCTGGGAAAAGTTGCTTTGATTTCTGCTCTTTTATCTTTCCTTTGTGTGTTTATATACAGAACCTACTCTTTCTTTATAATAATTCCTATCCTCCTCTCCTTCTTAGCCACCATGAATTATACTCAATTGATATTCCCTCGTCTGATTATATCCCGTCCGAAGTGTATGAAGTTCACATTTCTCTGCTTGATGAACATGAACAGTATATGTCTGCCCTCTGCCCTTCCACTGTTTTCAAAACAAACGTATACATCGCCACCTATCTTGCATGTGCGTGGCTCCACCCGACACGCTTGGGCTCTCCTGTTTTATTTTCCATGAATATGAGCTGTATCAAGTCATACTTAGCCACGTTAACCGAGTTCAATCTCCTCATATATTTCATAAAGCTTCTCACGGGCTATCTTCCCAACTACCCGATCTGATAAAGGGCGCAACTCGAATGCGAAATCGGGAGCAGACATCATCTCGGGCTTACGCTGGAATCCCGCATCATCAAGAAAACTGCTAAAACATGCCCTGTTTTTTCCCGAAACAGGGGCTATGGTCAGTGGATACCACCATCGCCCGAAAAGCCTCGCCTTTCAAATCCCTTTAGGCCCTCCTAATGTTTGTTTGAGGCGGGAGATGGAATCATGGAATAACACTCAGCTACCCTTCTTGCTTGGCTTTGCGGCTAAGCTTGTTTTCAGCCGCCGTTGCGCACGTGATTTAAGGCTTGGCCCTGGGATGTCTTAGGTAAGGAGGAGCGGACTGTTGTGTATATCAGCATGGCTTGAAGGATTGGAATTGCTGATGATTGTCAGAGGACAGAGAAGGCAAAGGATGTCACAGTTCTGTCTGATCAAGTCCAGTAGTGTGTCGATCATGTTAGCCTCACAGCGTATACGAAACATCTCCTATATTCGGTTAGACAAGGTCTCGTAGACCAAGATGTTGATGATGGTTGCACACCCTATGAGATTCTTGAATATCGCCAGCTTCTCATCTTATCAAGTGGCTGTATGTTAGTTGGACCTTTTCTCTCGTGGGTACTCTATAAAGTTGCAAGAGAGCGCCCTTTTATTTGTCGGCATTTAACATGGATAGTTAGTTCCTATCCAAGGCGTTTCGGCTGCTCAGCCCCTCGCCATCCCATCGTCCCTTTGGAAAGCGAGGTTGGCGGAACGAAGGACAATTCCTTCGCTGTGGTCGCCAGGTGGATAACCTGGCCATCTCACGCTACTGGATCCTGGGGGGGGGGGGGGGGGGGGGGGTCATCGGGCGCTGGTGAAGGACTCAAAACGCTGCACTGCCTGCTTCTATACGATGGACCGGCTAATCGGCGTTTTCCTCCTGGATGCAAACGTTCTGGATAACTTCCTCTTTTGGGGCTGATGCTGCGGTTTAATTTACATAATCATGCCAAGCCGAGTTAGGCGGATTAAAGCGGGGCGCAAGTTAAAGTCCGTCACGTGCAAAGTTAGCCTGCACAGCTCCGGCTTATTACATGATCAGAACTACATAAGAGGAGATGCATCCCAGCTGCAGTACAGGCGTATTCACCATCAACATATCTTGCAATATACCTATTGTTAAGTCATCTAAGATACGTCCATACGATTCGTCAAGGTATCTCTACGATGTCTGAAGCTACCGCACAACATACGCAGACCGTGCCGAATGGGAAGGCCCCAGAGGCCGAGCGCGAACCCCAGCATCAACAGCAAGAAGCTGGCCCTGAAGCCTCTGGTGTCGGCTTTCGTCCTCACCATGACCTCATTAGTGTCCAGCCCGCCCGTCTAGATGATTTGCAGCCCAGATACGCGCAGGTACTTCTGCCCGATGAAGAAAACCCTGCTGCTCATAGTTGGTACTCTGGCTTCAGTAAGTAGACACATGGATAGCAAAATTGTATCTTGGGTTCATACTAACCCACCATGTAGTTCATGGACTGGGAGAGATTATTGGTACCTTGGGAGCCATACCCTGCTGTATCTGCTGCCCTAATCCTTTTACGCCCGTTAACCAGGGTCAGGTCGGACTGGTGACCAAATTTGGTCGTTTTGAGCGTGCAGTTGATCCTGGCCTTGTAAAGGTCAACCCTCTCAGCGAGAACCTGACAACTATTGACGTCAAGATCCAAATCGTGGAGGTGCCGCGTCAAGTCTGCATGACCAAGGATAACGTTACCCTCCACTTGACTTCTGTCATCTACTATCAAATTGTCTCTCCACATAAGGCTGCTTTTGGTATTACTGATATCCGTCAGGCATTGGTTGAGAGAACTCAAACTACTCTGCGCCATGTCGTCGGTGCCCGTGTGTTGCAAGACGTTATTGAACGTCGCGAAGAATTAGCCCAGTCTATCGGAGAAATCATTGAAGGTGTTGCTGGTGGATGGGGTGTCCAGGTTGAGTCCATGTTGATCAAAGACATCATCTTCAGCAATGAACTTCAGGAGTCTCTATCGATGGCTGCTCAGTCCAAGAGAATTGGTGAAAGTAAAATCATTGCTGCGCGTGCGGAAGTTGAGGCTGCCAAGGTATGCGCTATTCACAGATTCACAACTAGGCAAGATAAGAACGCTAACAAGTCATGTATCAAATAGCTTATGAGAGCTGCAGCCGATATTTTGTCTTCTGCCCCAGCAATGCAGATCCGATATCTCGATACTATGCAGGCAATGGCCAAGAGTGTAAGTATATCATTTTACCTCAACAGGTTGTTGCTAATAGTTACTAATTTTTACCGCTCAGTCGAACTCCAAAGTTATTTTCCTCCCTGCTGCCAACAACCAGGCCGCCATGCAAGCTGCCCTTGCGAATGAGACTGGAGAAGGGTCCAGCCGCCGTCACGAAAACCCTTTTGACCAGGACGGAAACGACGGTTTCCAGACTGCCATGAACGCTCATGTCGTTGAGAACATTTGAATTACCTGAATGAAGGCACATTAGCCATACCTATCCACAAATAACTCCGTTTTCGTGGGGAATACCCAAGGGAGACCCTTTACGTGTTACTATGATACCCTACTGTCGTTTCCTTTATCAGATATCAGCTCCTCCCGAAATTTAATGTTCATGTGTTTTAATGCTTATACCTCTTGCGTTCCTCGTTTTTGTGTGTGATCTGTGCCTACCATAGGCCCACTAGGCAGCTCAAGTGGTCGTGATTGATCCTTGCTTTCCAAAGCCAATTCAAATCTGATTGTATAAAATTATACCTTCTCTTTTATCATGCGTAAAATATATGCATAGGCGATCAAATAATCAAGTATCATATCACTCATAACTCAAGTCTACTACCTGAATCTACCATGGTAGAATAATGCTAAGATAAAATTACAAGGTACAGTAAAGGACAAGTCAAAAACAACTAAGCTATCCCACCAACGATTTGCATGTGATTAGTTTCCGCTATCGCCTTAGATGACCCGTGAAGTGCATGACTGAAAGTGGTGCTAGACGGGTCCTCGAGAAGCATGTCAATATCTTCAGAATCAGGAGGAAGTCGGAATCCGTTGCCTGGTTTTGGATATAAACGATGTTCTTCTACTTCCTCTTCATCGCTATTCTCTCCGATACCATTCCTCGTGCTAGCGGGAACGCTTTCAGATGGCCGTTTCGATGACGGTGGAGTTGACGTTGTGGCCTGTCCCAATATCTTATATTGTTGTGAACCCCCAGCCAATCCGTTTGAAACTATTGAAGATGATATTGTCGACGTGCTGGAGCTAAAAGATGCTGTGTTGAGTTCATTCAGATTTGCAGGGAATATAGGGATATCTGGTCGGGAATCTGATATATCGACCAGTAGATTGACCAGAGCAGCATGAGATAAACTGGAAAAGTAGCTCTTTTTCTCTACCCGACTAAGTTGAGATCCCGCAAGTAATGTAGGGGTTTGTGGCCCACTTGTTTGCATAGACGGTGAAATTGACGTGCGCAAACCATTCTGCTCGCGAGTTTGCCCATTTGGCTTGAGAGTTAGATCAAGAGGCGTATCGATAGGTCGACATTCCCCGCAAAACCACTCCTTGTTCTTCACGGAGATAACATCATCTCCAATCGGCGGGTCATGGCAAAATTGATGCCAAGGTGCGTTGCAATCGTCACAGAACACGATAGCATTACATCTTGGACTATGTCCTCTATCACAACGGAGACATACCACATTAACTTCTTTGCCTTTGCGGTACACTCTTCTCCGTTTCCGTGGAGGTTGCTGATGATTCGTATCGGGACTAACGGATTTTTTCTGGACTTGCTCCGGAGTGAACATAGTTGGCCGGTGGATCTGGCGTCCTGATTTTGTCTGCGTAGTTGTTAGCTGAGCATCGGAGGACTCATCTGAGTCTGTATCCTCCGCTTTAATAACCCCCTCGTCGTCATTACGGTCGCCATATCTGCCAGATCTTCGAGAGTTTCGTGGCTTCGCACCTCCAGTTGTTCTACGACGCCGTGATGTTGGTTTAGAGGGGCTTGCTTTTGGAGTTGACATAATGGGTACTGTAGACCCCACTGTGCTAGAAATGGCCCCTACAGCAGAACCTGGTGCAATGGTGGCCGAAGATGGTGACAGCGCGGTTGCAGGGGACGGAGGAGCGGGTGCGATATTTCTCCAACCTATGAGAGGGTTTGAATATTTCAACGGGAGATCAGGTTTTGCTGCCGATATATTAAGCTCCTTTGCCTTAATATTTGGTCCCTCACCACTTGCGACCATCGTTGAATTGTGACCCTCGTGGGTAGATGTTGAGGATATCGACGACAGTTCGCTTGAACTGGATGCATAGGTCATAGACGGTATGGAGACATTGTTATCCAGTCCTTCATGTGAAAATGTAACACTCTCTGCCGGTATATCTAATATCTGCGTATTTTGCGTCTCATTGATCATGCCTGGATTGGTATCTGTCGTATAAGGTGCCGTGGGTGGCGGGGGCATAGCAGCGAATTCCGTATTCGAACCCATGGTAGTATATTAAGAGCAGGATGATAACCAGAGCCTGATCAAGCCTATCGGTGTTTCATTCAAGTTAGAGAAATGACAGACCAGCTGCACTGATATGTATCTGTGTTCGTGCCTTCGAGGGTCGCAGTTAACTAGTTATGGCTCGAGGTTGAGAAAAGAAAAGAAAAACTTTTGAGACCCCGTGCACTGAACAACCACGGCAGGAGATTAGATATTGAGAACTGATGTACTGTAAAACCAAGATTACTGCTGATATGTGCCCTCTTCCTTGTCCTAGGATAATGTAAGATATGGGAAAGGAGAATCATCAAGTCACTGCAGGGCAAATTTGACTTGAACGGTAACTAATTTGGGAAGGCCAGTCGGAGGCGGCTCGTGTTGTCACGTGAACGGGGAAATCTAAGGGGCAAACAGGGAGAAACAGACCTAGGGAGACGGCAAGCAAATAACACAGAGTATGTCGGAAGATCTGATAGTTCCACTGAAGAAGCATGTTTAGCTTGTTAGCTAACTTTGGTCTACGCGGTATGTCTATATATGTTGTATATTCTAGGTAGATGTTAAGCCCCCGAGAGGCCGAAAAGGGTAGCTATAACTACAATATGAACAATCTATGAAACAATTCCGTCTGCCTTCAATTGGGCTATTTTTGCTTTGTCATAGCCCATGACATTGCTCAATACTTCATCAGTGTGTTGTCCGAGTGTTGGAGGTGGCGTTCGTATGCCTGGTGTGGCATGAGAATATTTGACGGGAGTATTTACAAGTTTGATAGGTCCGCAATCCGGGTGGTCAACCTCTTGTACCATCCCTCGATCAAGCACTAGGTGTGTGTCAGTAAAGCTATCAATCAACATGGCTAGAGCAGCTTACCATGTGAATGGTTCAGAGCGCCTTGGATGTCATTTACAGCCGCATATGGCATACCGCTGCCTTCCATGACCTCTAACCATTCTTGAGTCGTCCTCTGCTCGGTAAGATCCTCAATGAGTTTGTCGATGATCTCCCGATTCTTTACACGAAGGGCATTTGTGGTAAAACGTGCGTCGGTCTTCCACTCCGGGTGGCCTAGCCTGTCACAGAGAACCCCGAAGAGTCTGTCATTTCCTCCACCAAGTAGAATATCACCATCCTTTGTTTTAAAACTCCGGTATGGGACGATTGAAGCTGCCGGTCATGTAAGCGGTTGTAAGTGTGGATTTGTCCTCCTTGGTTTCAACTTACGATGAGCTGTTCCCCATCTTCCAGAATCCTTCTCCCCACTAATAAGTGCCGAGCTCGCAAGGTTTGCAAGAGTCGCTATTTGGCAATCGCTCAAGCAAGCATCAATGTGTTGACCTTTACCAGTTCTACCACGAGCTATAAGTGCAGCCATGATAGCATTTGATGTGTACAGACCAGTGGTTAAATCGGTTACAGCGACTCCAACCTTAACTGGCGGCCCATCCCTCGACCCGGTGATATGCATCAATCCCATCTCAGCCTCTACCATCACATCATAGCCAGCTCGCTTGCTGTATGGTCCTGTTTGCCCATAGCCAGTGACACTTGCATAGATCAATCTTGGATTTATTGCCCGAAGTGACTCATAATCCATCTTATATTTCTTCAGTGATCCAGGGATATAGTTCTCCACAAACACGTCGCTCTCCTTTGCAAGCTTATGAAGGATCTCAATGCCAGACTCATGCGCAAATGACAACCCAACAGACTTCTTGTTACGGTTAACCTGTTCGCAAGTTAGAAGCCAGAATACTGTATCAGAGGTTAAAGCATGACTCACACCTAAGTAATAAGCACTTTCTCCCGGGCCCTCCTTTGTATCATCTTTGTATTTGGCGTATGGAGGACCCCATGCCCGTGTATCATCTCCTCGTGTGGGGTGTTCGATCTTGATCACTTCCGCGCTATTGAATTAGACAAATTATTGTTAACATCGCACGAAAATGACTATTCAGAGCTTTTGGACATCAAATCTCACCCTAAATCTCCGAGTATTTGGGTACAGTAAGGCTGGAGTTACTCCACTGTTAGTCCCATGTTCAGACCAAACGATGCTGGAACGTATTAGAAAGACTGAGGTAGGAAAATATAACTTACTCCGGCGAGAACCCTAGTCATATCCAGAACTCGAATACCAGCCAGTGGGAGTGTGTCCACTGAGGGAGCAGCCGTCGAATAACGCTTGCATGCTGCTGTGAAAGCTTTGTTATTGGCGAACCTTGAAAGCTTGTCTGTATTGACAACGCGTCTTAAGATTCGGTAGGAATTCATTTTCCTCTCACAATTAACACATGCACAAATCACTCATTGATATAGTTCTGTGAATTGATTTTTGTCAACCTCGAGGTTGACTAACGACAATGAACACTGGCGGTAAAGGCAGGGAGACGCGGCTGTTCAAGTGCCGAAAGCGGCATAAGAGGTGCAAGCGCGGCCCCACTCCCGAACCGCGGCCTCGGCTCCCCGATGCGCTTACATAATAACTAACTAACTGGACCACACCCGCAAGCAACGGCAACGTCTTGTTGATACCACCAGACAGACTACTCAATAATACTTGGCTAACATGTTTACCGGCCTGGTAGAGAAAGTTGGCAGTAAGTAGAAGTCTCTTCCCTTGATTATGCATGTTGTTAACAAATAATTCTAAGCTGTCACTGCCCTTGACCCTCAAGATGACTCCTCCACAGGCGGGGGCGGGACATCCTTGACAATTTCGGATTGTACAGAAATACTTACAGATACAAAGCTAGGGGATAGCATATGTGTCAATGGTATGTTTTCTTGCTCAAATAAAGTATAAATATAATGTCTGTCCAGCAACTAACTGGAAGACAAAAGGGACTTGCCTAACCGTGACAGCGTTCGATAAATCATCGTTCAAAGTTGGGGTCGCGCCTGAAACTCTACGTCGGACAAACCTAGGATCTCTCAAAGCTGGGTCACCAGTCAACCTTGAACGATCTGTGCTGGCCACGACACGGATGGGCGGCCACTTTGTCCAGGGCCATGTAGACACCACCGCAGAGCTCCTCTCTGTAACCCCCGATGGCAACTCCCTAGTGCTTAGGATGCAGCCCAAGGACAGAAGTTTGCTAAGATATGTTGTGGAGAAAGGATTCATTGCTCTGGACGGTGCCAGCTTAACAATTACCAAGGTCAAAGATGGTGAAGATGGTTGGTGGGAAGTCATGCTAATTGCATACACACAAGAAAAAATTGTTACATCAAAGAAGAAGCCTGGTGATAGCATTAATGTCGAGATCGATCTGGTCGGCAAGTACGTCGAGAAGACTGTACAAGGCTACTTCGAGGGACAGACGAACGGAGATTCAGCCGCTCTGGAAAAGATGGTGGATAGACTTGTTGAAAAGAAGCTCCAGAGCATGGGGAAGGTTTGACTATGATCTATCCTAGAAGAATCATTGCATGAGTTTCCAATACAATTATAAATGATAATCTATTATTTTTTGCTCGACTGGTTTACCCCCGGCGCCATGGTCGAAGTTGAAATCCTGGCAGTAGTGCGGTCCAACTAACCGCCCGCTTCCTTCAATGAAAATCAACACATACTAACGTAGTGTTGATTGCCTACGCTTGAATGCTGTAACTTTTGAAAAGATGCAAATAATATGTACAAAAGGGGTATCTTCGGCAATAGATAAAAGAAAGTATGCAAGACTTTCAGTACGATAGCGCCACTTAAGCTTCCCCCTCTTCTGCTTCTCCCATTTCCTCATCTTCGTCCTCTTCCCCATGGATGAAGTCATCGCTATCCCAGTCATCATCATCATCAACTTCATCAGAATCTTCTTCATCGTCTTTGCCCTCACGTGGTGTCTTTGTCTTCAGGGCTTTCTTCTTTTCAACATTCTCCTTCTGTATTTTTCTCCTGAGTTCCTTTTCTTTGCGTTTCTTCTCCCAAGATGCATCCAGACTCTGGGCTTCTTCTTTAGTCTTGGTCACATAATCGTGCCACATAACTCTTCCGCCGCAGAGTCCCTCTTCCACCTTCATCAGCTTTAATTTCATGCGAGGTCCAAGTTCAACCAGTTTCACTGCTCTTTTCTCAACATTTGATCCGGAGCTGCGAGCTGATTTGGACCCAGCTTCCTTAGCTCGCTGAAGTTCCTTTTTGTTCAAAACTTTTCTAGTCGTGGATTCTAGAACCTCTACCTCCGCGTCCGTCTCAATTTCGGTCTCACTTGCAGACGTAAAACCGGCATCGCCGCCACCACCGCCCAGCAAGTAATCTGCAACATCATTCAATTTACCCAGGTTTGGGACAGCTTTATCCTTCTCCTTACCCCGGAATTCTTTCGGATTAAGTCGCCTTATCCTCTTAGACAAGTCGATTCGTTTTGTTGTGATGGCGTAATGTCGTAGGTTCACTGTAAAAGATTCGTCTCGTCCTTTCTTTGACGATCGGTCTCTGTCGAGTAACATGATACGTCGAATTGAGGCAAGAGGTGTTGTTTGAGGTGAAATTGGAGGGAAAAGAGACTGGAAAACTGTGGTGACAAGAGACTCCAAATGTTTTGGAATTTTCTCCGATGCTTCCCCCTCTTTCGAAGACATAAAATTGTTCATAACCAAGAGTGGAGGGGTTGTGTGGCTCTTTCCCAAGCCTCTCGGCCGCTTCAATGCCTTTATGACATCTTTGCACAAAGAGTAATTCTCAATTCTGAAATTTAACGTGGGGCCGCGGGGTGTGAGAGCAATGCGGAGATTCGAATTTCCATTGCTTGATTTAGAAAAGAGTAGCAGATGAGTAACTCCTAAGGGACCGGTCATAACGGTATAATCTTTCAGTCTGTTCTTCGTCCGTTCCTATCAAGGCTATTAGCATTCTGATATATAGAAAATTTTAGAAACATTTCATAAATTATAGGCATACTTTTAAGCGGCTTGCAGTATCTGGCTCCATCATAGACCGGACATCTTTTGCCAATTGACTCATGCTTGAACCAACCTGGCCTGCGCCAATTCGAATTACCATGCTCTTGGGGGATTTGTTCATTGAAGCGGCTCCATTCTTGGTTCCTGAAGCTCCAGCCTTGCCTGGAGGGACATGAGTCCGCTTCTTAACACGCCTTTTCGCCATATTACAGAAAAATCGTCAGAGATCAAAAGGTACAACAAGGTTGTCAAACAGATCTGAACTTTTCGTCCTTCAGCAAGCGCAGTCCAAGGTTTTTTAGAACGGGGATTGCACTTTTTTTTTTGATCTTGATATCGGATCATTGATTTGACGGACTCCGAAACTCTAGTTAATAAATATTTCGGAAACCTTATTTTTTTATCTGATAGAAAATTGAACATGGAGCGTAAATATTTAAATATTTTAATTTATCTGTGAATACCCAAGAGACAATTGCAAAGATGTCGGCTGTAAAGAATATTAAACGGCGAAAGCTGTCCCATACGTCCTCCAAGCCAGTCTCGGATGATGTCTCTTCGGGATCGGAGCGCCAGCAGGAAACTCCAGAAGAGAGCGGCGAGGGACCGGCAGACACAAAAGCACCCAAGACGTTCAAGGACCTGGGGATAATCGACTCCTTATGTGACGCTTGTACCTCGCTAGGGTATAAAACCCCGACTCCGATTCAAGCTGAATCTATACCCCTGGCACTGCAAGGGAGAGATTTGGTGGGTCTGGCAGAGACAGGAAGTGGAAAGACTGCGGCTTTCGCATTGCCAATTCTTCAAGGTAAGCAAACTTCATTGCGGAATTGGTCAGAATAATTAAGCCTGCATCTAGCTAACAGAGCACTCTTTTACCGTTGATAGCCCTTATGGAAAAACCACAGCCGTACTTTGGACTTGTTCTTGCACCCACTCGAGAATTGGCCGTACAGATCACAGAAGCGTTCGAAGCCTTGGGTTCGCTTATTTCAGTTCGGTGTGCCGTCATAGTAGGAGGAATGGACATGATATCTCAATCGATCTCTCTCGGGAAAAAGCCACACATTATCGTTGCGACACCCGGAAGACTCCTTGACCACCTGGAGAATACTAAAGGATTCTCGCTGCGCAATTTGAAATACTTAGTAATGGATGAGGCGGACCGTCTTCTCGACTTGGATTTCGGTCCTGTACTGGATAAGATATTAAAGGTACTTCCGCGCGAACGCCGAACATATCTGTTCTCTGCAACCCTAAGCTCCAAAGTCGAGTCTCTGCAGCGCGCCTCACTTTCAAATCCCCTACGAGTTTCCATCTCGTCCAATAAGTATCAAACTGTCTCAACTCTTCTTCAGTCATACATTTTTATCCCTCACAAATACAAGGACATCTACCTTGTGCACATACTAAACGAATTCCCTGGACAAACTACTATAATCTTCACCCGCACCGTCAACGAAACCCAACGTCTTTCAATCCTCCTGCGCGCACTGGGATTCGGTGCAATTCCTCTCCACGGCCAACTATCCCAGTCAGCTCGTCTTGGTGCCCTCGGCAAATTCAGGTCCGGAAGCCGAGATATTCTGGTGGCTACTGATGTTGCAGCACGAGGTCTTGATATCCCGGCCGTCGATCTAGTGTTGAACTTTGATCTTCCTTCTGACAGCAAGACATATATCCATCGTGTTGGGCGCACTGCCAGAGCGGGCAAGAGTGGACGAGCAATCAGTGTTGTCACACAATACGAGGTTGAGATATGGCAGCGAATCGAGGCTGCATTGGGCAAGCAACTGCCGGAGCACAAGACGGAGAAAGAGGAAGTGATGGTGTTGAGTGATAGGGTAGGGGACGCCCAGCGACTGGCAGTTACTGAGATGAAAGATCTCCATGAAAAACGAGGGACGAAGGGTGCCACACTTCGGGGGCGCAGGAAGGGGGATTCCAAGAGGGGAAGAGACGATATGGATCGGGAGGAGAGATGATCAACGAGGTAAATTTCTTCTTTTAATGCTACCATTTTTACCTTTGCATACTCAAGTCATCTTTTAGCGGTCTAATGGGGTTATGCAATGTAACCCGGAAACGAATATAGTATGTGTATGAAGTCATAACAGCTCTTTTGATGCAAATCTGTATCGATAGAAATATTTATCTAGAAAGAGAAAAAGGGAAGGATAGGGATACCTAGTCAGATTTTGTCCTGCAGAGAATAGCGAAAAGCAGAGACTGGTTTAGAAGCTTTTTTTTCGCTGCTGGATCAGAGACAATCCTCATGTCCGTCAAGCCATGTTGAGACAAGAGGTCAGGTTGCCGAAAAGCCGAACGCTGTTCCAGCAACGAGCATCACGATGACAAAAACTAGAGAGATTTATTTTTCTCGCCTCGTCAAAAGCTCAGCAAAGCCGTATCAATATCGTATGATTTTATATTATCCTTTTTTTGGCGTAAGAGAGGAAAACATCCCGTGAAATAAAGTCGTGATTACAAACCATAATTGCCCTTCTTTGGACAATTTAAAGAGTAGAGAATTACTGCCCAGCAGCAGCTTTGCCAGCTTCCAGGACAACAGCAGCAATTCTGTTAGCGAGATCATCAGTCTCTGACCGGGTGGCTGCTTCAGCATAAACGCGAACTGCGTCCTCCGTTCCACTGGCACGAGCGAAGCTTCTACCCTTGTTGTAACGAGATTGGAGGTCATCAATACGCTGCTGGAGACCGGCAGGGGATTGGAGTTTCCGCTCAGCATCGTAGGTCTTGAAGATAGAGCGGTCTGGGACCTCGATCCTGACCAATTTGTTGGGTAGATCAGTGTATGTTGCAACCCATTCTTTCAGGGTCCAACCCTTGTGGGCCAAGATGACCTCGACCAAAAGCATGTCAGATAGAGCATCTCCAACTGCCTGGTTGATGAGGTCTGTCATAGCAACAAGGCTCTCCAAAGCGTACTTCTGGGCTGGTGACTGAGGCTCGGCTGTCTTAATCGTCTTGAGAGCGTTTTCAGAGAAAGTAATGGTTCCGTGGCCATTGGCCTCGAAGTAGACGCCAACATCGAATCTCATGGCAGCGTGATGGAGATGCTTGACACCAGTAGGCGTGCAAACAACAGGGAGCTTGAGGACCTTTTCAATGTATTCGGTACTAGAGCCATTTGCATAGGCAGTCTGGACCACGCCGATTTTGATCTTGTTGGAAAGTCCGGCGTTCTTTGCGAGCTCGCCAATGAAGGAAGCAGCAAGAGTGGCAATGCGGTCACCGTCAAGGAGTCTGAAGACGCCACTGGCATCCATGTAGTAGTACACTAATCGGTCAGCATCACCGTCTAGGGAGGCACATCGGTCCTGTGCCACGGCCTTGGACGAAGGTGGAGCGCGTTGCTTCGTTTTCACGTAGTCGGCTCCGCACTAGTTTTATCTGTGTTAACGATTGCTTTTTACCCGTTATGTGTAAAAGGGGTTATATCGTGAATACCTCGAAGTTCAGTCTGTCAGGGTTGATAACGTCATCGTTGATAACAGTGATATCCAATCCACCATCCTTAGCGGAGGGCAAGAACTTGACGAGCTCAGCAAGCTTCGGGCCACCAACACCATTGGCGCAGTCAACAGTAACTGAGCCAGCGGTGGTGCGTCCGTTCATGACCTTCTTGAATGCTTCGCTAAGTTTCTCGTAGTAGCCTTTCTCAGTAGGCTCCCCGTACTCATAGGGAGTTCCTAGGGTGTTCTTGCAGCGAACAATGTAGTGTAGCTGAGGAGTAGTCAAGTACTTGAAATCAGTGGCCTCAACCTCTGAGGCAGCCATGGCCGCACTGAGGGCAGTAGCAAGTCTAGCTCCAGAAGCTCGAGTGTCCCTGGCGAAGACCACACGGGCAGGGTTGTCCATTTTTATCTCTATCTCATCGACGAGTTTCGCGTATTCCTCTCCGAGAGTCTCTAGAGGAGCGTTTGCCAATCTAGTAGCAAAGACCTCCCATTCGGCCTGATAAAAACGGAGGCGATAAGTCAATAATCCCCCCTGTCTGAGTTTCGGGTATTATCCTACCTCCAACATCTCGCCCTGCGATAAACATCTTATGTTAGCTCTCGATGCTGGCCGCAGCACATGGCCGAACCACACGTACCATCGGGTCAACCAACTTAACCCCATTGTCCTCAGCCGGGTTATGGCTGGCTGTAATCATAACACCAATATACTGTCCGTTGAGCTTCCTCGAGCGTAGGCCGGCCAACAGTCCCATCGCAAACACAACGGTGTTGAGAAGCTCTCTAATGACAACCATCCGTTAGACTCTAGGGTGTACGGCGTAGGATAGTGTACTCTCTGCCCCTTACGATTTCATACGGAACTACATTGAGAGCAGAACAGCTTGAATTAGCCCAAAGAAACACCTTTCTTCCGCGGCGTTTTACGCGTTACATGGACAAGGGACCTGCCAAACTTACTCCAGCGGTTCCATATTCAAAGATCTTCCCTTCAGGTTTAGTGTAGGCCGAGGCGGCCTTGTTGATGGCCTGCTGGAGCTCTGCGGAAGCCATTGATGGTGTCGCTGTCTGTCTTCTGCAGCAAGTCGAGTGAGCGAGTGAGGGTGGTTGTCTGTTGTCGATGCAAGCTCGCTTCGTCGTCTATTTATCTCTCGGCGGGGAGAAAATGCGAGAAAGACAGCGAGGGGGAAGACGAGGAAAATCAGCTGAGCGTGGGGTGTGTTTGCACTGTTTGCACCGCTCGCTGCAGTAGCGCAAAAGCTTCACATGTTGCAGGTTGAGCTGCAATTGGAGACAGCAGAGTACGGGGATGCATGCAGAGAGCGAGGCAGGGTCTATGCTGGTGGCTTACTGGTGGCTGGGGACAGCTCAGCGTCGAGGGCGGGCCTTCGTCAAGCTGGCTGGCTCTAAGGAGTTATGTCTCAGAAGTTTGCAAGGGGGAAAGTTGCACAGGTAGCTGTTAGGTAGGTGGTCTATAGAGTAAGATATGTACGGAGTACTGATATATCCCATTGACAGATCTATATAAACGGTTTCTAAGCACGCAAGCGCTGCTCGGTTATGTCAAACTCTGCGTCCCGGATAAGGAATCTGTACGGGAAAGACCACTGTAGTCAGTAAAAAGGGGAGCAAGCGAGGAACAAGAAGGCAGGGGGGAAGAACGGAAAGACAAGAGAAGAGACGGCACAGGGAGAACGTACGCATACCACCAGACGGTGGGGATAACTGTGCCTAAATGCCACAAGCTGTGGGCATCGATTAGGCCACCAATCGGAGGGAAATCCAGGAGCTCAAGGCTCATGGCCAAAATCACCCATCCAACGATCATACTTGGCCACGCCGTCCAAGACTTCATGTATCGTTTATATTGTTTGACGCTAAAGACAGTCCACATCAGATTCTGGATGATTCCCACCGCGACGTTGGCAGCCATATTGTACGTGTAATCCCAGGACCAGAAGGTCAGGTACGAGACGTGCATAGTAAACAGTGTCATGCAGAACAGCGTCCATCCTCGTAAAAGTGACGGCTTGTAGTGCGGCCGGAGCTTGTCCAGGCGAAATATCCTTACGACAGCCAGATATAAACCGTATAACACGCTAGCCCCAGCTGCAAAATAGTCAAGTTTCTCTGTTAGGGCGAAGTCTCTCGTGTGGAATATCATGCTAAACGTCCAGCTGGCCAGTCCAAAGTAGCCGAACCAGAGGTAGTACTTGCGTAGCGAGTAAGACTGAGGAATGCGTTCCTTCACCTGTTGTATTCCGCGGTAGTGAGCGAGGTAGTTGAAGAGGGAGAACAGGGTCGAGAAGAGCTCCTGGATGCCCATGACTCGGTGAAAGGGCCATTTTCCATGATATTGGACAACAGGTTGAAGCATTGGAGGGTCTCTGGTCAGCCGCTGGTTGGTTACGACATGTTGACAGGAGTAATCGCAGTTCGAAGGGCAGTCCCAAAGCAGGAGCCGGAGATGTATCGCTGCTCAAGCTTGATTCGTTAGCTTCTGATAACTCGACAGACTGACAGGCAACCCGGACGATATCTTACGGAGAGATGTCTGTCCCGTCTCGCAGTGCTCTTTCTTGCAGCTCTATCTCGTTCAAAACAACAGGTCAGCCATAGCGTTTCTCGTCTCAAGCCTTGAAGCTGGCAGGGATACCTCGAGGCAGTCCTTAAATTCCGGCAGCCTGTCACCGAGCGACGCCAGAGAGACATCGGCCAAGACTATCCAGACGCAGAGAGCCAGAATCCATTGAGAAAAGGGTATCCTGGTGGGTTTCATCGTTAATAATGCTGAGGATAGGGAGGCTCCCGCACTCGAATTGATAGTTAGAAGGTGATCCTCCTTGGCAGCGAACTGACTTGACTCGTAGGCTAAGAAACCCCCTTTTTTTTGGGAGCCGCAGGAGACCTCACTAGCCAGACAACTCGGAACCTGTGAACATAAGAAACGTTTAGCTGGTTGGCTTGTTGAATATTCATACTTTTAGGTTACGGAGTACTCTTTCACGAAATGCAATATTTGTGCCAAACACGAAGGAGTAAAGCTAAAGAGCCACGGAATATTCACTTTATCTTATTTTATTTGCTTAACTAACTAGTTATTTACTCAGATCTAGTGTTGCTGTCTATTTCCGTTGAATGATAGTTAATGGTTAATGACGCATTTGTCGAATATAAGCCCTAAAGAGTAGCTTATCACCTACCCCGTACGCCTTCAGTGCCCTTTGTAGATGCTAATAAGACCAGGAGTTGTAACATAGCCAATTCATAATTCCGTCAATTTAGGCCCTAGCTAGCATCCACGATGTCAGCCATATCAAGGGTTCGAAATAAAAACCGTCATATCCCCAGCCCCCGTCGTGTACGGGGATCCTTAGAATTACGGAGACGAAACCTTGTGGTATGGTCCTCGGGACCTTGTCTCCAAGACATGCGGCTCTCTTTAGTCAAGACGAATCCCTTCCAGAGTCCCAATCGAGACACAGGCCGAGAAAAGGCTAGCATGGAGTCATTCTCTAATAATGAATCTTCCCCAACACGCTTTACCATATTTTGCCACCATTCTGTGTCAGTATTGCCTTCAAGGTGAAGATGTTCTATTCCCCATTCCTCGGAAAGGTCCATGCCATCAACTAAGGCCGCTAAGTCTATCCTGTTTGTTGTATCTATCAGGCTCTGGGCGTAAACATGAAGCTTTGGGTAAGGTAGACGGCCTAATAAAACTTAGTGTGCGATATGTTTATGACGAGCGTGTAGCCTAACCTTGACTCCATTCGATGTTCTCAGGCTCGCATATAAAGTGGCAGTAACTTGCGGGCAATAGTAGCCAAAAGTCTGTCCGGCCAACAGCTTTGAATCGAGGATATTTGTGGTCAAGGGAGCCCGGACGGCGGAGCGGGAACGGTGCGCATGGCTCTAGTATATGATGGTTGGACGTGAAGATCTCAACAGCCTTCTCAAGCTGGGCGTCTGGGACGCATAGCACTCGGTCCTATATTTAGAACTAAATTAGTGCCCGGAGCCCGCACCTGTAGTTTCTACAAATATAGAATTGTACAGTACACGCGCGTTCGGACGGGCCCCATAGTAAATAAGAGCATAATCGTGAACAATGCAACAACATATGTCTGAATCCAGTAACATGGCAACAACTGCCGTAACTTGTTCATGAGACGGATCTACATCGTCAGGATTGCCGATGGCAAGGGTATGAGATGTCGACGGCATAGAAATAGCCTGAGGAGTAGCAAGCGTGCTTTCCATGTCTTGACGCACGGCGTTCCATACAGCCTCGACGTCGCCCTCGCGAAGGAAGCATCGCCCTCCAGTGCTTATCGATAAGGATGTTAGTCATCATCTGCTTAAGGTTTACCACGTGACAAACGCTTCTAGGAAGTGCAAACAGTGCAAACTTTGAAAATCTCCCGCCCTCTTTTTTTTTTTTTTTTTTTTTTTTTTGGAGAAAGAAAAAAGCCTTGAGGGGGAGAAAGGGAAAAGACCAAATTTTTTCAGCTTGTGGAATTTGTCTCTGTTTTATCCTCTCGTTACAGTTGAGATCATATTCGAAGTCGTTTTCTGTTGCAACGAAACTCGTTGTGGTCGTTTTTGCATATCGTTTGTTTGCTAGATTTGTTGTCCTCCTTGATAGCAGCCATGGATACTTCAGGAGATAATGCTGGCTTCTCTGCCTCCAGCGCCGATAGAATGGTTGGAATGGACCATGCTGAAGTTCGCTACTTCACGAGGTATGTCTCCTTTTTATTTTATGTTTAGGATTACTGCTGACTATTCCGTAGTTATGATCATTATGGTAATAAATACCCCACCAATAGTCAGCACAAAGTGAGGAATTGGTCGATCCTGGGCTAACAGAAATGATGTGTTACAGGAATTCATGAAGAGATGCTTGTGAGTTAGGACGGGAATAAGAATGTATGGGATGAATACGTACTAATGTGTGGCTGTTATAGAAAGATGAAGTGAGAACTCGCTCATACCGCGATGCTATCTACAACAGCAAACATCTTTTCAAGGACAAGGTGGTTTTGGACGTCGGTTGTGGCACTGGTATCCTCAGCATGTATGACCTGCCGTTTGCGTTCTTTAACCAAATTCAATACTGATGAGAATGCGTAAATAGGTTTGCCGTTAAGGCTGGCGCAAAACATGTTATCGGTGTCGACATGTCTTCCATCATTGGCAAGGCCCGTGAGATCGTCGAGGCAAATGGAATGTCTGACAAGATAACCCTTCTCCAGGGCAAGATGGAGGAGGTAGAGCTTCCTTTCCCCAAGGTTGATATCATTATTTCCGAGTGGATGGGTTATTTCCTTCTCTACGAGTCCATGTTGGACACGGTCCTTTACGCCAGGGACAATTACCTCAATCCCAATGGCTTAATCTTCCCCGACAAGGCCACCATCTACCTTGGAGCCATTGAGGATGGCGACTACAAGGAGGAGAAGATCGGATGTATGGTTTCCCCCCCTCCTCCCCTCCTTCCTTATTTTCACTATTTCACAATATTAACCCCATTCGTCAGTCTGGGACAACGTCTATGGCTTCGACTATTCTGCCATGAAGGATGTTGCTCTTACCGAGCCACTCGTCGATACCGTTGAACTTAAAGCCCTGGTCAGCGACCCCTGTGCTATAGTCACTCTCGACCTTTACACCGTCACCACTGCGGATCTATCCTTCAAGGTTCCTTTCACCCTTACTGCAAGACGCGACGATTATATCCATGCCCTGATCGCCTGGTTTGATATTGACTTCACCGCCTGCCACAAGCCTGTTCACTTCTCAACTGGCCCACATGCCAAGTATACCCACTGGAAGCAGACAGTTTTTTACCTCCGCGATGTACTCACCATCCGCGCCCAGGAATCAGTCACTGGGTTCCTGGAAAACAGGCCAAACCAGAAGAATAAGCGTGATCTCGACATTACCATAGGGTTTGAGTTTGATGCCCAGGATGAGACTCGTAACTCCCAGGGCCTCTGTCAGTACAGAATGTGCTGAAGGGGGGATAAAAAGAATTTTGCGCGGTACTTGCATTAATTTTTCGCTATTTTATATGCTAAAATCGATTTGGATCTGCATTGGGCTCCTTTCCCGCTTTCATTCGCTACAAGACGTATGGCTCGAGGAAAAGTGCCAACTAGCAAGATGGCAATGGCGTTGGAAAAGAATATGGCATGTTATGAAGTGAATGGTCTAGAAAAGGAGAGATGATGATATAAACGGCGATTTTATAAAGCTCCTCGATTTGCAATTGATACCCTCGAGTAGATGCTTAGTCTAACCGGTTTGTTTAGTTTAATGGCATGCAATTTTTTCTTCATAACCGTTCGTCTTCGAGATCACCGTTCTCGGTAGAGCCCCTATAAGGTTTATGCGGGTAGCTTTGCTGACTAAACCGGTTATTCCGCGCAGAGAAGCCTCGGTCCAGAGGAACCTCAACTCAAGCAAAGGAGCCGAAGAAGCCTGGCATATTAAACCCGTCTACACTCATCATAGGCCTCCAGTATCTAGATCTTACATATATAGAGGCTACTTTTGACCACTATACCTTACATACTGAGAGGGGTCACTGAATACCCTACTACAAGAAAACTTAATCGCAAGTATGAGCGGACCAGGAGCCGGTCATCAATTCCCAAGCGAGGATGTGAGTTGGATGAAGAGAGACATCCTCCTCTTTGCCAACAGCATTGGATGCACTGCGGATGAACTCCATTTTCTTTATGTATGTATAATCACACTTCCGATATAGTTATGGACAGTTGACCGGTGACTCCAGGAATTACACCCAAACTTTGCAGCTTTCCCAACATATCCCGTCATTTTACGTGTGTTACCCATTCTTCGATTAATATACCTCTTATGCCCTTGGACCAATATATTCTAACGACTGGTCTAGCGTTTAAACATACCTCTCAGGAGGTTATTGATTTCTATTCAAGCAAAGCTAGCAGAACCATTCCAGGTGTACCTCCTCTTGATCCCAAACGTACTGTCGATGGCCAGAGGAGAATGTTCTTCTACAAACCCCTTCCTGTCACTAGCGAGGGCCGCAAGTTTGAGCTACAATCCAGGGTCATTGGCGTGTACGATAAGGGAAAAGTTGGCACTGTTGTGGAAATGGAGTACTTAATCGTTGATAAGGAAACCGGAGAAGTATACACAAAGATGATTGGAAGTGCATTCTACATCGGCCAGGGCAATTGGGGCGGTCCAAAGGGTGAGCTTTACTTTGCACAATTGCCGGGAACATCGTCTTTACGCTAACAAGCACTAGGGCCTACGAGCGTGAACTTCTCCCCACCCCAAGGCAAGAGCCCCGATGCAGTCCACGAGTATCAAACCACTGAAAACACCGCCATGCTCTATAGGCAAGTATCTCTACTCCCCCTCCTGCTGGCTCTGCTTCTAACATTGGATACTTTCAGACTCAACGGCGACTACAACCCACTTCATGCAGATCCTGCACCAGGGAAGAAGATGGGTTTTGGTGGTGTTATAATTCACGGCCTCTTCAGTTGGAATATGGCAGCCCATGCCGTACTTGCTAAACTAGGTGGCAGTGATCCCAAGAACATGAAAGAGTTCCAGGCTCGATTCGCTTCTCCAGTTCGACCTGGCGATAAGCTTACCACGGAGATGTGGAGGACAGGTAAAATAGAGGATGGGTTTGAGGAAATCATCTTCACCATTAAAAATGATCAAGGGAAGGTTGTCTTGAGCAACGGCCGTGCTCTCGTGAGAGTCGTCGGGGCTAAGAGTAAGCTGTAGATACTCACAGACACTGAACCATATCACCACGGGATCAGAGAGGCTTAATTACCCACAGAACCATGGGTGTTCTGTCCATTCAGTCAGATGGTATTAGCCAGCAGATACCATTCTGTTGTGCCGTGCAAGGGGTTTTGGAGATTTCTTGCTTGTGTTTTAGTGACTATTTTGCATCACGACCTGGACGAGATTAAAAATTCCGAAACTTAATAGCCGCCAAAAAAATGCAAGGCACTATGCATTGATGTCATGTTATTTCGATTTTTGAAACGAAAGACCCTGTAGAGCACATGTAAAGGTGGCATGCATCACAGGGGGATACCGAGGATCAAAACTAAGAGAAGTGTATTGAACGTGGCATCTTCGGTTGTTAGATATTTGATAGACAACCCTCTTTACATGAAGCCCCTGGGAGTCGTCGTTTCGTGTTAGAATGGGCCAAGTAAAATAACTAAATAACCAACTAGTTAACAAGTTATTCGAGCCTCATCTAGGCCATAGAGGAACCCCGCTCTTTAGTTAAATCTAACGGTAGAACCCGTTTCTTTCCATGTCCCAGCGTCGTCGAACTTGTACAGCGTGGTAATCATGAATGTCTTCCGGTGTATTCGATCTACGGGCATCGCGCGGTAAGTTTTAATCGTCAATATTGACGTGCCAAATATAAACTCTTATATTTTTCTAGAGCGAGGACATGCGCCCGCTTGCCCACAACTGCACAGGTTGGTCTACACCACCACAGCCCACAGCATAAATTTGCAGGACCTTGCGAAATCAGTGTTAACAGAGGCATTATGCCCCAATATATAGCAAGCAGTTAATAAACCAACTTTGCCTATATACCCCAGAGAAGCAAGATGGTTTTCGTTGCCGGTGCGAGCTAGCGTATCGTCTCAGCTGACAGAGGCTGATACCTCTTCAACTGTGCCTTATGTATCTCTCCCTGTACCCGGACTTGAAGGACACAAATGGTAGTTGTAATCTTTACCTTCAGTATAGGAGATAAACTGACAGGTATAGGTCGAACCTCTGGTTAAGGGATAACTGCCAATGCCACGAATGCGTCCACCCGGAAACCAGACAACGCCTCCTGGATACATTTTCTGTAGGTTGAGAATACCTATTCTATCCCCCCTGGGCCAGCCGAAGGCTGACAAGTGGGACAGCTACCAGATGATGGTAAACCGTCAACTATAAAACCTCTGGAGAACGGACTCGAAATAGAATGTGTGTATGGCCTCGCACGGAATTTGCATCTCTGTATACTTCTGACATTGGAAAAGGGACAGGAGACGGGCATAAAAGTACTTATACCTATGAATGGCTAAAAAACCATACATCTTCAAGTGCAGCTCCCGCGGGGAGGCCCTTCATAAGGTGTGTAATCTTTGTCTCTTGCTTTGACTTCTGATCTAATCATATTTCTAGGAATGATCTTGAGTATGTCGAAAGCACATCAAAATCACTCCCGTCTGTCGAGTACGAGGAAGTGATGTCATCGGACAAGGGCATACGAAGATGGACAAGCAATATAGTAGGTTCTTGGATCTAAACGTGATGTTCAGTATGGCACATGCTTACGTTTCATCTTTATCAGTATCGATTCGGCTTTAGTTTTGTGAAAGGAAGCCCGGCTACTCCTGAAGCAACTGAGCGGTTATTAGAGAGGCTGGCTTTCATCAGGCCTACCCATTACGGTGAGATGAAGCCCTGGACCATGTGTCGCTATGATTTGCTAAAACAGAGTAGGAGGCTTCTGGGATTTTACGTCTGATCTTTCAATGAAAGATACAGCATACACCTCACAACATCTCAATGCTCACACGGACACAACGTACTTTACTGACCCTGCCGGACTTCAACTCTTCCACATCCTATCTCACACTGATGGAACGGGCGGGGAGACGCTACTGGTTGACGGGTTCAAAGCCGCTCGTACTCTGCTTGAAGAAGATCCCGCGGCCTACCAGGCGCTTAGTGATATCAAAATCAGCTCGCATTCCAGTGGAAACGAAGATGTCTGTATACAGCCAGCCACCTCGTTCTCGGTATTGAATCACATGAGTGATTCATCTGAGTTGTACCAGATTCGGTGGAACAACGATGACCGTGCACCAGGAAAAGGGAACTCGCTGGAAACCATCTATCGTTGGTACCAGGCTGCAAAAAAATGGAATGCAATCCTCAAGCGGCCTGATATGGAGATCTGGCTCAAACTTGAACCAGGGACACCCCTCAGTAAGTGTCTCCTCCCTAGGGTGAAAATAATCGAAAAAGAGGGTAAGCTAACTGCATTCCATCATCCAGTATTCGATAACTGGAGAATTCTCCACGGCCGCTCTGCCTTCACCGGGAAGAGGCGGATGTGTGGTGGTTATAGTGAGTACTCCAGAAACACCTAAGGGTATCTTGAGTAGAAGTAGGATACATGTTAACATCCCACTTTGATAGTCAACCATGATGATTTCATCTCCCGATACCGCCTTCTTAATAATGGAAGAGACCAAGTGCTGGCCCAGATCTAGAGATGGGAGAAAGTCTCCATCTATGGAAGAAAATAGTTGCACTTCGCTGCAAAAAATTTAAGGAAGATGTATGAGGTTTAGAATTAGATATCAATGCACCACGACTCGAGCTTCTATTTTCTCATTATTGTTGACAATAAATTAGACGATGCTTGGTATAGAGAAGCCTTGTTGACATCGTTGGAGGAAAAGTTGCCACGTGACCTGGCAGGCAAACAGGCAGCTTACGTGATGCATCAGCTTGGATGAAGCTGCTTTGGCTCTCTTGAGCTTCAACCAGCAACGACAACCTCAACAACCTACACTTGCGCCTCTGTCCCGCAACCTGCGTATCCGGATCTGCACTATAAGGCACGGAGCTGGAATATTTCTGACATTCCATCGAACCGAACCTATTCTTCCACGGATTATCCTCGCATTTAGCCGCCATGTCTACCTTAGAGGATCTTGATGACCTTGAGCGCGAGGACAAGAACCAAAAGGATGACCGGAAAGATGGTGACAAGAAGGGGGCAGACAAGGATGGAGACGCGGAGATGAAGGAGGCAGAAAAGAAAGAGGAAGAGGATCTCATAGACGAGGAAATCCTACGGTCAAGCACTAGGGATATCATCAACCGAAGGAAACTTATCGAAAACGACATGCGGATCATGAAGAGTGAATTCCAGCGGTTGACGCATGAGCAGAATACGATGAAGGAGAAGATAAAGGAGAACTTTGACAAGATTGAGAATAACCGGTAGGTGTCCATGTGTTTCTCAGTAGCCTTGAAATGAATATTCGAACTAACTTTATTTTTGCGTAGACAACTTCCCTACCTAGTTGGCAATGTTGTAGAGTTACTGGATCTTGACGTGGAAGAGGAGGCAGCAGAAGAGGGGGCAAATATTGACCTCGATGCCACCCGAGTTGGCAAGTCCGCTGTTATCAAAACCTCCACACGACAAACCATTTTCCTCCCACTCATCGGACTCGTTGACCACGAACAACTGAAACCCGGTGATTTGATTGGTGTGAACAAAGACTCCTACCTTGTTCTGGATACCCTTCCTGCCGAGTACGACAGCCGTGTAAAGGCAATGGAAGTAGACGAGAAGCCTACCGAACAGTACTCCGATGTTGGTGGTCTGAACAAGCAGATTGAAGAACTGCTTGAAGCTATAGTATGGCCTATGAAGGAGGCGGACAGGTTTAAGAAGATTGGTATCAAGGCTCCCAAAGGTATGCTATTTAATACCTCAGTTAATTTTTGGATCATATATGAAGTGAACAACTTCTAACGTCATTCATAGGTGCTCTCATGTACGGTCCACCCGGAACTGGTAAGACTCTCCTTGCCCGAGCATGCGCCGCTCAAACAGAGGCAACTTTCCTCAAACTTGCCGGTCCCCAGTTAGTGCAAATGTTCATCGGTGATGGTGCCAAGTTGGTACGTGATTGTTTTGCCCTGGCCAAAGAGAAGGCTCCAGCCATCATTTTCATTGATGAGCTCGATGCCATCGGTACCAAGCGTTTCGACTCCGAGAAATCAGGAGACAGAGAAGTTCAGCGAACCATGTTGGAACTACTTAATCAGCTCGACGGTTTCGCCTCTGATGATCGGGTCAAGGTCCTTGCGGCTACTAACCGTATCGATGTCCTTGACCCTGCCCTTCTACGATCCGGCCGTTTGGATCGAAAGATCGAGTTCCCTCTACCAAACGAAGAGGCTCGAGCTCAGATTCTCAGAATCCATTCCCGTAAGATGACGGTCGACGATAAGGTTAACTGGCCCGAACTTGCTAGAAGCACTGACGAGTTCGGTGGTGCTCAGCTTAAGGCCGTCTGTGTAGAGGCTGGTATGATTGCTCTAAGAAAGGGGGTCAATAAAGTGAGCCACGAACATTACGTCGACGCCATTTCGGAGGTAATGGCAAAGAAGAAGGATACCAATGTTGGCATATATGTCTAAACACGGCTGGCAAGCTTATGTTCGAGGAGACAGTCTCTCTTGCTGTTCTTTTCCCCTGCTTGAAATAATCAGCCTTCGTTCTAGATAAACAATTTAACGTTTTCATTGTGCCTATTGTTGATCTACAATATTTCTAAGATTTATCATACTTGAAGGATTTGCCCGAGTGGATAGAAAATGACTCTGTGCATGTCATGTGCGTATTAAATAACTAAACACTAAAGTATATACACCTCAATCATACACATATCCCCAATCCATGATCACACTTGGTTGTACATATTACATATACATTATCGTCCCGTTTTGGTAAGCGGTGGGTAAATCCGGGGGCAAAAAAGGTAAAAGAAGGTACGAAGGTAAAAAAGGTGCTCGTCGTAAAAATAGACAACAAATAGTAAGAGAAGAAAACAAAGTTTATAACCAATCCCAAAACTCCAGCTGGCCAGAACCGAGTGGGAAAATAAGTATACAGCATGTGTATACGAAGAAAAGGGAAATTGGGAAAGAGGAGAAAAAAGAAATAAGAGATAAAAAAATCAACGGAAGATATCACTGACGCCGAGCAATGCGGCTGAGGTATTGGGTTTTTTGATACCTCCGATATTGCGTTCTCGTTCAGCGTGACTCCACCACTCCTTCCCATATTTATGGCCTTGGTTCCATGATCCGTTGCACGTGTCCCTGGCCCAGAACGGTTGATCTCCATTGCCACCGGTAGCTGGCCATGAGGTACCTTTGGTAGGTGATGTTGGGGTTTTTGGTGGCATGGGAGGGTTGGAGCTGGTGGATTTGGAGTTGCTGTGGTTACTTCGTGCATTTGAGCCACCCCAGACAGAGAAACGAGAGGATGAGGAGGTTGTGGTGGTGGTGGTGGATGGAGAGGATATCTCGTCACTGAAGCTAGAGCTTGTATTGGTTCTTTTCGAATGTTGTGATACGGTGGGTATGGCAGGATGAGTTGAAGAGGAAGAGCAGCTAGCGAAGAGGGATGTTTGGTTTGCTGCAAAGAGGTGTTTGTGGCTTATTAGACCACCATCTGCATCTGAGTTTGGTATATCAGGCTGCAGAGTAAATCTTGGGGTAAGAGCAGTCGTATTGCTTTTGTTTGATATGCCCACCCTGCCCATGCAGGCGGGTATCAGAAACTCAAGGATCTTGAGAGCAGGCGTCTGTGCTTTACCATCATTGAGAGCTAAGATTGCTTCAGAGCTCACGTATCCAGGTTGGATAACGACATTGGGGGTTAGGAAGTCTTCTGAGTGGTCTGTGATGATGACTTTCACGCCTTCATCATTTTCCTTTGCAGCCATGTCGATAAGTGCCTGAGATCGTATACGCGCTGAGGACAGGTTATTCCCCGCTGGCATTGCAAGGGGCCGTTTGGGAAGTGATCCGTGGGAACTCCGGGGAAGGTTGTGGCGATCCGCAGGGACCATGATCAATCCGTTTTTGGATGGCCGACAAACGTTCTGGAGTGCTCCCAATGGATCTATATCAAGTGGCGCTCGAAGGCGCTCAAGAGAAGGGAAACCAACATGTAAGATACTCTGCGCCAGATGCGAGTTGGGGGTGTTGGCTGTATTCAGGACCTTGGAGAAGGGCACGGTATCGATCTGGTTTAGTGCATCGGCGCCATTCGGACAGGCAACATCCCAGTGTAGGTGTTTCAGGGTTGCCGAAGCAAGGAGCGGTTGGAACACCATTCCCCCTTCCGGTAAAGATGGGACAACCGATGATTGAACTATAGTAAATCGCTCCAGACAACCAAGGGAAGCGAGGATCTTGGACAAGATCAAAAGCGAAGATATGTTCTGCTCTATCAGGGCGAGAGACTTTAGCCCCCTTGCCTCTGGTCTGCCCACATATCGCGCTAGTCCATTCTCTGTGACCCCCTGGAGTCCCTCCAGTCGAAGAGACGTCAAGGCAGGTAGAAAGAGTAATGTTCTATCAGTGAAATTGTCTGCTTCAAATCCTGAAACGGATAGATTCTGTAAAGCAGGCAGGAAGTTGAACATCCGTATAAACACACCGTGCTCCAATATGCCCTTTGAGTCCATGGAATGCAACACCATTGACTCGAGTTTCGACCATGAGGTGTGATGACTGAGAAATTGGTATACCTGGGCTTGGTCCAGTACTTCAGTGGCCTTATTCTGTGACCGTTCAGTCACCTCTGCATTTGGGCCAATAATCCAAGCATGTTCCTTGAGCTTTTTCCTTGTGGATAACGCATGAGTAAGACGGTCAAACTCATGGTTATATGGTATCGAGAGGCCAAGGAGGCGTTCGAGATTGGGACAGACCATGACAACAGAGGCAACCAGGTCACGATACTCTTGGAGGACAAGATGTTGTTTGCCTGTCATCAGTGGAGCATCAAGCTCTGGTACCCTGAGTTCAAAGACCATGTTGGCCAGGGCCTTTCTTTCTCTCAATGTGCGTCTGAGAAGTTTCAATCGGCTGCCACGTTTCCATTTGTATTTCTTCAGCGGGCCCGGTGAGTCGCTACCATGAAGATGGATTTTGTTATATCTATACCCGTTGGCTGCTATTATTACTTGCAACAAGGGAAGTAATCGTCGAGTACAGGCTATGTGAAAGGAAGAGGAGGGGGAAATAAGAAACAATAGCTTACAATTTACCTCTGACTGCCTTTTCCCACGCTCTATCTGTCAGACTTAGAGAATACAGATCTCGCATGTAACAAGTCAAGCAACCTTCGGTACAAGAGCTGATATGTAGTGACCAGAGATGGGATAGAATGCACTCATACACCTCGTCCGGGAGTCGATTTGTAAATACCTGCATCGGCTGCTGGTCTTGCGGTGAGGTCCTGCCATGCTTGGTCGGTGGGTAAAATGAATATCTGACGGTGGCAGGAGAGTAGAGGCTCGGAACACTGGAATTGGCAGCATGATTCGAGTAGAGAAGGGGAAATGTTGGGCTCCTAACCGGAGAACGAGGAGACTGGGGCAGCACTGAGGGATTATGCGGAGGGGTAAACTGGTATGAGGCTGTATTCGAAGACATTCGCTGTGATCCAGGTGAAGCTGTAGCGACGATACTCATTGTTGTAGCGGATAACAGCGTAACATTCTTTTCTCCAGAGTAGTCGAAAAAGCGAGGGAAAAAGACTGGAGGAGAAAGACAAGAGAGGTACTCCGTACTTTGTAAGGGTGTCACCGCGTGTAGGGCTCTTTAACACTGCAAGTGCGGGTTGAGTATGGTTTGTTTTTGCGCTGGCTTGCGCCTTTGAGGACAAATTGTATGGGGGGGAGGAGGATGTTTGTTTTGGGGGAGGGACGAGATAATAGTGGTATATCCTGAGGTTTGCTGGCTTTCCTACCACCCGCGCAAAACCAGGCTCTTCTCCTCTCCTCCTCCTCTCCTCTCCTGATCTACATTCCCCGTACAAAGTCACTAGGGGCCCTTAAAAGAGCAATACCCGAGCTGCTTGGGCGAATAGCGCCGCGAGTTAGTGAGTTAGTGTGGTAAGACCTGCACCACCAATCCATGCGAACGAGTGCTTGGCGATCAACACAGGCCCAGGGATGATAGTCGTATCCCTGAGCGTATTTCTACCTCGAAGCAATCGAAGTTGTACTCGTTGAGAGTCGAAAAGTATGTATCTGGATGCAACCATGTCTATAAAGTACGGAGTAATATCGGCTCTCCGTTATTCCATGCGTCTGTGTGCTTTGCTTGTTTCTCATTCCTCGAAACAACAACCTTCGTAAGATATACTTTCAAAGTAAACGAGAGACAAGCCAGTCTGGCCCGGCGCTGTGCTGTGCTGTGCTTCTGTGCTTTGCATATTGCAGAGGGCAGTGCCCGTGGTACGAGCTGGTTCAGCTTGCAAAGGGCGCCTCATCGGAGCCTTGACCGAAGTTGACACCTTCTGACGTCCATAGCGTTAGCCCGTCTGTCCTATATCCGTCCATATATCGACTCGAAGAAAAGGAGTCCAGGTACCACTCAAGGTGAAACACGACAGCGGAATGCAGCACGGCGATAGGCCCCCTTACAGCTGTCAACCAGGTGCCTCCCCTCCCACCCTTGTTCTTCATCTCCACTCGGGGCCCAGCACTAGCATAAACCTCGTAAACATGCAGGCGCCGGGCGTGCGGCCGCTGCTGCACCTGCATTGACGGTACTCCGTAAGAAACTTCTCCCCCAAAAAAACGCCCGTCTTGGTTTCTTTTCCCTGTTTCTTTCTCGTTTCTTTCGTCCCTTGCCCATGGTATTATTCTTCTTAGTACTCCGTATGGAGAAGTCCTTGGGTTGAAATTGGTTTGAAGACGAGAGAAGAAAAAGCAAAATGGGAGGCGTCGCTTCGGGCGCCTCTGGTTGGCTGGATTGGGACGCGCTAGCGCAGGAACCGCGCGCTAGCGATGACTAAGCAGCCCCTGAAAAGAGACGTCAGGCCAAAGCTACGGCGAGGAGAGATGTAAAAACAGCCAATAATTAGTTCGATCGGTTACATCGCGTAGGGGGGTGGGAGGGCTTATGAGACACAGGAGAGGTGTATATTTGTGCATATGATAAAAATAGAGCTGGTGGATGCAAGAAAGCTGCATGAAATTTATATGGAATATTAAGGGGTAAACGGGAGAGAGATGTAAGTAGGAGCACTAAGGAATCAATAAAAAATATTGGATGGTAATATCAGCCTCCACCATCCAGCGCCCAACCAACCAGCCAACAAACCGACAGACTGACCCCTTGGCTACATGCAAATAGATGAAAGGATAAAAATGCCCGCTAGACGATTTATGCCACGCTTTGTTGTTTGTTCGCTTGTTGAAGAATGAGTTTCTTTTTTTTTTTTCCGTTTCTTTTTTTGGATGAGGAGAGAAGTGACAATAATGAAGGAAAAGGAGATAGAAGAGTTTGGATCTGGTATTTATGAAACTGGACCTGGAAGCAGTATGGCTTGGTAAATAAGAAATGTAAACTGACTCAGACAGACAGAAACAGTACGGAGGACAAGTAAATAAATCGACGGTGGTGGAAAAAAAAGGTCCCCTCCTTGCCCTTCTTTCTTTTGCTTTTAATTCTTTTTTTGGTTTTGGGTGTTTTTCTTTTTTGTAGTTGGAATGGATTATTCCTCTTTGCCTTGTATGCGTGACCGGTAGACCGGGCGGAATAAAGCAATATGAAGCATGCATTGTGCTTGACAGATGGAAGGGATAATGACGGGGGTAAGCAAAGGGGGAGGGGAAGGCTAGAACGCAGAGTTGAAGGGAAAAGGCCCACTAAACGTAAATTGGGAATACTCGCGGGAAAGGGAAGCAGAGAGAACAAAAGGCGAGTGGTAGATAAGGTCCTCATCAGATAGCCTGAGATTCATATCTTGAGGCGAGTAGATGGGGAAAATAGGAAGAGGGACAAGGGGCCATACAAAAAGGCACAAGCATAAGTAGGTTGGTTAGTATGTGCAAGTGGCATCAAGTCATATACTTCATGATCAGTGAAGGGAAAATATCACAAAAAAGGAGGGGAAAGGGCATGAATGTTGTAAGGAAAAAGGCACAGGCACAAACGCATCAAAGAAATAGGAAGAAAGTAGCTTCTCCCAGCGATGTTTAGGTCAGGTTAGCAGTTGTGCTATTCACTTGCTCCCCCGACGCTTCACATCTCAAAGTGATAGTCGTCATGGAAGATACCCGCATCAGCATCGCCGTTTGATGCAGTGCTTGTGCGCTCAACTCCGCTCATGCGATGGCTATGGTCGGGGCCAGCACTATGGCCTGTGCCAGCCTTGCCAGTACCACCACTGACTTTATGAGGTTGCGCCCATTGCTCAGGGAAGTCTTCCTCCATGTAGTCGTCGGCCGTATTACTAGAGTAATTCTCACCCTGGTTCATATGATGCTCCATCGAACTCTCGTTGACAAAAGTGAAACCTTTAAAGTTAGCTTGCATGCCGGGGGACAGCGGTGTACCAGCGGGATTCAGCCCATTCGCCAATGCAGCGGCTCTCGCGTTCAGGGAAGCAGATTGTTCCAGGGCAGTGGTAAATTCGGGGTCAAAGTACGAAGTATCCATGACAGATGTAAGTGTTGGTTTGAAGGGAGGGATAACGCCCTTGTTGGCTAGAACGACCCAGTCGATGTCATGGAAGAATGGGTGTGCCATGAGTTCCTTAGCGTCATCCCGGTAGCCAAGCCGATGTTCAGGGTTGCGGTTCAACAGACCCTTGACGAAGTTTCGACCTTCAGCGCTGAGGGCGTCACGAGGGAACCGAACCTTGCCGAACGCGATGTTCTTGTACATTTGCTGGGTATCCTCGGCGTAGAAGGGACTCCAACCGCAGCACATTTCAAACACAAGGACACCCAGGGACCAGAAATCGACCATTTTAGTGTACCCGGTCTCGTTAAGTAAGACTTCAGGAGCGAGATACTCAGTTGTACCGCAGAAGGTATTGGTGGTGTCATCCTTGGTGAGATTGGCCTTGGACAAGCCGAAATCGCATAGAGCTATATGCCCGTTGGCATCAAGAAGAATGTTCTCAGGCTTCAGGTCGCGGTACACAATGTCGTGGTCGTGAAGGTGCTGTAGGGCGAGGATTAATTCGGCAATGTAGAACTTCGCGCGGGCTTCAAGGAATCGCCCTTCTTTCTGGAGATGCCAGAACAGCTCACCGCCCGACATGTAGTCTGTGACAAGGTACAAATCCGTAGGAGTCTGGAAGGAAAATTTCAGACCAACGATGAATGGAGAATCCGTCATGGCGGTGCGGACAAGGATGTTTCTCTCCCCAAGAGTATGGGCAATTTCCTTTTTCTGGATTATGACTTTCTTCGACAATACTTTCATAGCGTAAATCCGTTGAGTGTCTTTCTTTCTCACCTGGTACACCTGACCAAAAGTACCCTTGCCGATAAGCTTGAGAATCTGGAAGTCGTTCGGACCGAACTGCTTTTTGTCGGTCTTCTGGAAGCTCATCTGAAGGTATATCTCTCCGGACACTGGGCCCTGACCATGGGCTAGTGGTTGGAGAGGATACCATCCCGACAATGTGGTGTGGTCGTCCTTTAGGTGGAGTGATAGTTTCAAATGGCCGAGGAAGGCCTCATGGTTCGAACGGTCATAAACAGACACGTCAAGTTCCGACTGATGGCCAAGCACGTCACTATATATCGATCAGTAAAGAAAAGGAGACAGCAATAAAGGAAAGGAATGCACGCGCAACGCACAAGACGGCATCGTGATTCCACTGTGGATCAGTCACTTCAATAGGCCCGTTACTATGCCCTCCATCCATCATGCTGTTGTGGCTACTCTGTCGACTCTTCATTGGTATGGCCATTGGACGTCCGGAGTCACTGTTCGACCGCTGAATTGGCACCGATCCCAGCGCTTCGAGTCTGTTTCTAGAACCAGCCCCATGACCGGCCGTGCTAGCAGTCTGGCCACCCTTCTCATCTGGCTTTGCACCCTTGGAGATGTACTCGTTCCATTCAAAAACGCACACGACATACGGATCAACGCTAGGACGAAGGCCACGTCCTTCAACTATTTTGACGGTTAGTTTTCCCTTTAGAGAGGCGGTTACCGGTACGCCTGATTCCTCTGAGGCTCCACTGGATCTAGAGGAGGCCGAAGGCTTGTTTGATTTGCTTTTCCGCGCATTCGACGAAGAGGCGGTCGAGTGTCTTCCCCCCTGAGAGCTGCTGTCTGGGGTATTGTTACCCTGGTGAGGGGGAGAATGCTCTATTATCGACCTAGGAGGGTCTCTCTTCTCTGCGGCATCGGTTTCATTGGACATTGCACGGGGGGTGAGAGGAGGTGTGTTCTTTGTCCGCGGGCCCGCGGCCACGCTGTCTGTCAGCTTTCCCAGATCCTCGCAAGAGCTGGAGATTGAGTGGGGATGATGAAGGTGGTTATTATGATTTTGGGAGGAGGATTTGGAGGAAGATGAGAGAGAGTTGGGTTTTGATAGTGACTGTGAGGAAGGACGGGAAGGTTTGGAAAAGTGGGAAGCCATAACGGCATCTGGGGAGACACTGGAGACAGGAAAGGAGGTATGTCGTTTGGGCTTTTGCTTTTGTGAGGACTTGGAGAATATAAGGTTCTTCAGGGCGCGGTAAACCGAGCTCACTCCTGTATCAACTTCTGGAGCACCATTCTCGGCCTCTTCAGTGTCTCTATGGGCGATGGAACAGAACGAGGAGCGGGGAGGAGTCGGTAAAGGATTGACAGCAACAGCACCAGCATCAGCATCAGCGCGGCCACCGCCACCGCTACTTGTATGCTTTGAAGGGGCAAGGAAGTAGTCCTTGTCCGATATCACCTCGAGACTCTGGGCGGTGGCAGGACGAGAATGTGTGCTGACAGGTGCTGATTTCTGACAACCACGGTCCAATAGATTGGTCGACTCAGTGAGTGGAGGGGAGTGTGATGTTGAAGTAGGCGGTTTCAGAGCATCCGAGTGTATTTCCTGCTGTTGTGTCTCTCCGGTCTGCTGGCAAGGATCCCCAACAGCAACCACACCATCATTACTACTATGCTTCCCTGGGGTATGATGGGTAGAACAAGAGGAGGAAGAAGACATGGAATGAGAAGGAGGAGGAGGAGGAGGAGAGGAGGAGGAGGAAGAAGGTCGTATACTGGTGGTGGTAGTGGTAGGGTTTGAAGTAGAATCGGAACCAGCACCAACCTGTGCAAAGAAACTCGGCATGATCCCGGGGACGCGCTTGTCAGATGGATCGGGCTGCGGCGTTGCGATCCCGGTAGGCGTTGAACCCATCGACCCTATCTGGTCCTGGCCGTCATCTCCATGCTTTTGGCTGTATATAGGACGCGGGTTAGCCATCGGAAGTTGTGGTAGAGCATGAGCAGCAACAGTGGGCAAAACAGCAACCAGCAAATTCAGGGCTAAAAAGCAGGGCAAAGAGAGAAAAGGATAGGCTGCCTGAGCATCGTGAGGCTGAACGGCTTGCTTGTTCCGGGTGCAGTCGTGGTTTGATGGCGAGCTAGCCAGCGATCTTGCTGCTGCCGTGGTCACCGTCGCTGTGGCTATTGCCGTGGCATGGAAAACAAAAAGCTGGGGTGACAGCTTGGTGGCGTTTTCCCATCCCTCCCCTCCCCCCAGGCGGAGATAAAGCGGTCTCTGGCCTTGCAGCGTAGCTCTTGTCTGGACGCGGAGATGAGAGCCGGTCGACAGGAGGATGTGCTGGCCTTTTCCTTGCCACCGTAGTCTCTTTCTACTTTGTTGTCGTTGTCTTCGTCTTCGTCTTCTTCTTCTTCTTCTTCTTCTTTTCGTTCTTCGCTGTTCTCCGTCGTTCGAATGACGCTGGGGGTGACTCGATATGAGAGAGCCAGCCCTTTTGTCTCACGCGCGGCACGAAGGGCAGCCAAGTGTACAGCCGACGGCGGTCACCGTTACGACCGTTGGACAAGAGGTACAAAGGGAGCAGTAGATGGGGGGGAGAAACGACGAAGAAGAATAACAACAATAATAATACAGACACGATATAAAGAGCGGGACTCACTTCTGAAGCATCGCTTGCCGCAACAGGTCTGCGTGGGCATGGGCATTCACTCCTCCAAACTCCGCCATGTCCTCTTCGTGCGGGCTAGCTGGTGTCCATCCACGAGCACGCTCTCTGTGCTCTTCCCTCTGGTTTCTTCCCCGTTACTGAGCTGCTTCTGTCTCGGTGTCTGCTGTCGCTGTCTCGCTGCCGGTCAGGTTGACTTTCTCGCTGACGTCGTCCGGGGGGGCGCGGGCGCTGGTCCGGGGCTGGGAGGGGTGGTGGTGATTGGCAGCAAGGCCAGCAGCAGCGCAGCGCAGGATGCAAGCGGTGGCGAAGGGCAAAAGGGGGGGGCTGAACCTGTTCGACAGCAAAGCAACTTCAGACCGCCAGACAGGCCTGAGTCGAGCAGCTGGAGTCGGCGTAGTGGAGGATGTAGCGGGGGGTAGAGCTGAAGATGTAGCGAAGTCGACGAAGAGAGGAGGGAGAAAAATATTTTGGTGGGTGAAGGAGAAGAAAAAAAAAAGAAGGTTAGGTAACCAAAGGCGGAAGTCTCTCTCTTTTTATATAGATAGGAGAGGACAGGACATGACAGGAGAGGACAGCGACGGCGATAGATAGCTAGCTTGCTATTCTTATTTCCTTCTGGCTGCTTCTTCTTCTCCTTCTTATTTCGATGGTTAGTGTTTCGGACCCAGAGGAGGAGACGGAGCCAGCAGAGACAGGCGGCAAAGGAGGTCCGCCGTGGTGGAGGACAGTCGATGGGACCTGATCCACAGACAGGACGATGTCAGGCAAAGTTGACGTTTGAAGATGAAGTCAAGGTGAGGGTTGAAGGTGGGAGGAAGAGAGGGAGAAGACACTACGAGGATATATCAAAGATAAAAGAGAAGGGCCTTTGCTACAGCTTACGGCTAACGAGGATTTACTAGAAAGGGTCAAGAGAGCCAGCCTCAGGAGACAAGCGTTGCACCAGTCAGTCATACCTGCAGATAAAAATATACATCGAAGAGGCAGAAGAGCCAGAGAAGTAGCAGCAGAAGAGAAGCGAACAGTCGGATGATCTAGCTCGCCTCCGAGCTGTGCAACCACTGGCAACCTGGCATCAGACATCACCAGGCCGTCAGGAGAGAAGAAAGCAGTAGAAGAAAGGAGATGGCCATCCAAGAGAGACGAAGAAGACGAAGAAGACGACGATGACGGTGACGATGACGGCTCAGCTCGTGAAACGGTCATCTCGACTTTCTCTCTTCATCGTCGCTGTCCTCTCTTTACTCCGAGTCCCTCGCGGGTGTCACTGACCAACTGCCGAACTCGGCCGTCCATGCAGCTGCTTCCGTCTCGATCTCCCGGGCATCCTTCATGTCTGCTGCTTCGATCTCTGTCTGATCTCTGCCTGAAAGAAGCAAAACTCTGAGGTTTAGCTGGTTACATCATGGTATACATGCATGCATGCATGCAGTCGACACCTGCAAGTCACAACGGGTACATGGGAAGTCACTTCAGATACGGTACGGTATCTACAAACCGAGCTGAATAGCACCGCGGGGTTCGAGTCCCAGGGAAGAAAGCAAAGCAAAGCAAAGGAGGGGGAGAGCAAAGAAGAAAAGGAAAAAGGAAAAAGGGAAAACGGAGAAGATGCTCAAGGCAAGACGGTGGATTGGCCGGCACTTGGGGCGAGACGAAGGTGAGATGCATCAAGGTCGAGTGTCTGTCCCACCGGAGGATATGGTAAGGACATCGCAGTACAAACAAGAGCCCATGACTAAGGCGAGAGTGCCTGGCCCGCAAGCTTCCCCCTCGGCATGGAGAAAGAGAGGCCTTGCCCTGGACGATGAGAGGCCCGGGAGAAAGTCGCACACCCGTTTGGCCGTTTGGTTTCCATGGGACGAGGTCGCCGAGAGATGAACGTCGTCCTTTCCATGGCTCTGCTGGAGTCTCTTTTATTCCCCCTGTCTGTGGCCATTGCCGCTGAACAGTCCTTTTTCGCCTCTCTGACTAAGTGGGAGTTCGGTAGTTACTCCGTCCATGTCCACTTCCACGTTGATCGGATGTGCCGATGGAGCTCAGTCGGGATGTGGTGATTCTTGCTGTGGGTGAGCGTAGAGACCTTGTAGTCCTCAGGGTGCCAGCTACCTGTTTCTACCAACTATATTCCGTACTTCTCCAGTGCCTACTATCACCGCTTCTATCGTCTTTGCCATCGTCGTCATCCTCGTCGTCTTCAACATCATTTATCATCTTCATCTACTTCTTCATCTACTTACTTCATTGTCTGTTTCTTCTCATGCTTCTCTTGCTTCTCTCTATCAGCTCTCTGTAAACCTATACTTTCCAACACGTGATTTTTGCTTATTAAGCTAAATCATGTGATATCACGTGTACAAAAGTTAAAGCTTGACGATGTTGCAAAATGAAGATAAAGAAGAAGACGAAGAGAAGAAGAGAATAAAAAAAGAGAGAGACAACGGCTCTCGCCATTGAAAGATCTATATTCTATCGCTCACTGGAGCCTCGATCTCCAAGAGCATGGCCCGAAAAGTCAGGGCGGCTGCAAGGGCGGCTGCCGCTTCGCTCAGTAAGTAGACGACGCGGTTAGATAGTCAATGGGCAAAGAGCTAACATGGAGATAGAATCCACGCCGCAGCAGCTAGAAGAGTCTGACACAGAGATGACAGGTGTGGCCTCGCCTCAAAAGGATGCTCGCGAAGATGAAGCGGATGACGACGCTGAGGGAGAAGGTGAAGGCGAAGGCGAGGAAGTTGCGGAAGACGAAGAAGGCGACGAGGACGAGAGAGACACGCCGAGGACACCTATTGAGGGCGAAGAAGAGATGACACCCACCGCAGACAACGATTCTGAAGGAGGCGCACAGGATACACCGTCCCGGCCTTCCAGCACGGCGGGACGGGGCGGCAGCAGCATGCTCGGGCGACCCCCACGACGGCGGCGCATCGGCCGTCCTCCAAAGAACAAACCAGCCGACTGGGACGCAGACGAAGGCACAGGAACGCCGGCAGGAACAGGCAGGACAGGCACTCCAGATACACCGGGAGCGCGGTCTGGCGCGAACACACCCGTCAAGCGCGGCCGGGGACGAGGCCGGCCTTATGGCGGCGGAGCAGGCGGTAGCGGTGGCGGCGCAGGAGGAGGAGGAGGAGGAGCTGGTCGTTGGGGCCCCAAGTCGCGCGGCAGCTCGGCGCATGTCTCACACTTGCCTTTGGACAAGGACGGGAACGTTCTAGAGGTCGTTGATGATGAGGTTGACCTGCCCGAAGACCCAGAGGGAGAGACCAAGGTCGACAAGTTAGGCAATCTGCTGGGTGGCCGGGAGTTCCGTGTACGCACCTTCAAAGTGCTCGATAGAGGGGATAGGCAATACATGCTCTCTACGGAGCCAGCGCGGTGTATTGGCTTTCGAGACTCCTACCTCTTCTTCCAGAAGCACAGGCTGCTCTACAAGATCATTATCGACGACGAAGCCAAGCGCGACCTTATCGAACGAGACATCATCCCTCACTCCTACAAGGGCCGAGCAATCGGCATTGTGACCGCGCGGTCTGTCTTTCGCGAATTTGGCGCGCGCATCATCATTGGTGGCCGGAAGGTTGTGGATGACTACCATGCGCAGGAGGCGAGGGACAGAGGAGATGTAGAGGGTGAATTAGCCGTACCTGAGGATAGATTGCCCGCTCCCGGGGAGAAGTATAACAAGAACCAGTATGTTGCCTGGCATGGGGCGAGCAGTGTGTATCATTCAGGAGTGCCTTCGGTGCCTATGCCAGTCAGCAAGGCCGTGGAGAGCAAGAAGAGGAAGATTGTGGTTACGGGGGACAACTGGATGGTCCAGCATGCCCGTGAAGCTAGGTATGTCTTCTGTCCTTGCTTTCCTTATAGACTGCGTTGATACGTTTGTTGTACTAACAGCTCTCAGTCGCTTCAACTCTGAACTGGCGAGTCTACGGCGAGAAAACATCAACGGCGTGTATGACATCCACACCAACTTGATGATGTACCCCAAGACGATGCAGCCTACCCACGCACGCTGGGAGCAGATCGAGCCATCTGAAGACTCCTCCTCATCCTCTACATCGACTACTATCTTTCCATCAGTCCGAGGCATCTTCAGCCGCAACTTCCGCATCCATGACATCGCATATGAGTCCGCACCCAACTCATCTCTCAACCTAATCCCCGGACCAGACGGGGAGTACTACGACCTCGGCTCCAACGGACTGATCTCACTAGATAACGAAGCCAGCAGCAACGACCACGACGCTGGCTCTGAAGGAATCAACTTCAAGATGACGCCGGAGGTGCTGGCCGAGCTACCGGAGGACTGTCGACAAGCCTACCTCGACGCCGCAGCCCGGGAGTGGCAGTGGAAGAACAAGTGGAAAGGCGAGAGAGTCGACGGCGCCAGAGCCAACCTTGCCATGAACTTCTCCTGGACTCCCTAGCCGTGTTCTCCCGCCTTCCCTTTTTTTGCTTTTCGCTGCCATCTTTTGCTGTCTTTCTAACAATCTGTGTTGTCTATTCTGCAAGGGTACGGAGTTGTCGGCGACCAGGGCCCGGTTTCCGAGGGTTTAAACCTTCTTACACAATGTTTCTTTTCTTCCTTTTTGTTTCCTGTATGTGATGACAAAAAACGGCCTTCCCTTTTGCTGTCCTCCCCCTCTCCCCCCTTGCACTCCCGCCTGCGCCTTTAACTCTCGACCTAGACTTTTTTTTTGTTTTGACTTGACTCTTCATGCAGGCGAAGAAGTCAAATGGAAAGAGAGGCAAAGGGAGTGAGTGACAAAGAGGCAGAGGCAGAGGCAGGCCTGGTGACCTCCTGCCTTCTCTCCCTCTCACTTGCTATTAGTCACTTTCAGCTCTATGACTCCCCGCCCTCCTCGAACGTCATCCTACTTTCTCCGTACTGACTGACTGACATCCTGGCCCCGACTTGTGGCCTGCATGCATGCATCTGCATCTGCATATCTGCCTCTGCTTCTCCCTCCTGCACGCCCTATCCTCTGCACCGTCTTGCTCCCGCTCTCCTCTTTCCTGCTCGGTCATCTATCTCCAAGGGGGGGACCTCCTCTCTCTGCTTCTCCCTCCCTGGAAGGCTGTCTATCCATGTGTACACTAATGAATTTTACCATCATCTTCATCTTCTCGCCCTTTAATAGTAGTAGTCTTTCTCGTCTACTTGCGGTCTCTCTCGTCTATCGGCCGTCGTCCGGGTAACCCTAATTGCTTAGTCATCTATAACTCTAACTCATCCGGCGGACGAAGCGGAAAAAGAGAAAAGAAGCAGAAGCAGGAGCAGAAGCAGAAAAGCCATCGAAGCCAGGCTAGAAGACACAGACTCATCCTCCTCCTCCTGTCGGCGCAGTAAAGAAGATCACACAGTAGGCAGCAGCATTAACGCGTATGAACAGCGGTTCGGGGTGTGTCAGAAGAGCTGCACTGCCCTCGGCTCTTCGTCTCCTTCTAACTCTCGTATGGAACTATTACCGTAACTTTACAAGCTGTCAGGAAAAAGGTTGACTTTTCCCTTCCTTTTCTTCCTTTTCTTCTTGCTCACCTGACGCTCGCCTTTTTTTCCGCTTTTTTCGCTTTTTCGCCTTTTTTCGCGCCTTTTTTTTTTCCTTTGCCCTTGCGCTCTTTTTCTTACCTTGCTGACTAATAATTACAGTACCAAGCAAGGCCCTTGTACCAGCTTTACAGCCCTTTTTCCACCTTCGTCGTTCTGCCTCTTCTCGCCGTCTTCCCTTTTCTCTTCCTCCTCTTCTTCCTCCTCTCCTTCAACCTCCAACCTCCAACCTCCAACCTCACCATCTTCAACCACCCACCACACACCACCAAACACACCAACACCAGCTCCCCCCCCCATAACCACCAGCACTGCTGACGCCCTTCAGCTCTGCTCATCGTGTTTGTGTCCTGCTGTTCGTCCTTGGTCGGTGTTTCATCCTCCTCTTTTTTGCCGTCTCTTTTCGCTGGCGTTCGCCGTCGACCTCCCAGACGACCGCCATCACCATCCACCACCACCACAGCCACCAACGAGCTTTTCACTAAGTCTCGTTCCTCCTTCCTTGGTTCATTTTAATACCGCGAAGCGCCTCGTTCTTCTTTATCGGCTTCTCTCTGCACTACCCTTTTTTTTTTCGTTGCTCCTACATTTTTTCTAGTATATTTTATTTTCTACTTTCTGGTTGAACCAACGACTGTTCGGCTGCCACTCTTTTTACTCGTCCGGCTCAATCATCTGACGCCGTCGATCGGTTTTCTCCCTCATAGGCTGGAATCTACTGCTTCTTATCTCCCCAAATGTCATACTAGAGGGTGAAGGGTCGACTGTTTCAACCCAGCAAGTGGTCCTTGTTGGGACAAGGCCCGTCCGGGGTCGGGAGAGAAGAGAGCGAGACAAGAGCAAAGACACGACTCCCATCTGAGACCGGTCTCTTTTTCTTTTTGCTTGACAGGATAGTACATCCATCAAGGATACAGGAGGAGAAAAACAAAGTAAAAGGGTTACCACGACTGGCTAGATTCGGATAGCCAGTCAGAGGCAGCATCTCCGTTGTGGACTGCTGCCTTGCTCGCGTCGACCACTTCTTCGCCCATTATGCCGTCTTTCTTCGCGTCCGGGGGGTTGAACACCTTCCCGCCAACTCCGCCACACACCAACGTCGCTCCTCGCATCGAGACCGACCCTTCGTTCTACGCCAGTGCTGGTGCTAGTGCTACCACCGGCGGACATGCCGGCTTTGCCTTTGGCAGGTACGGGGCCGGAGCTGAGTATGAAAAGTACCAGCCTACCTACCCCAACCCTTACCACGGCAGAGGCGATCTCAACCACAAGAACAGTTCTGGAAAGCAGCAGTTGATGGCTCAGCAGATGCTCTACAACAATCCTCTCGCTCACGGCCACGGCCACGGCCTCGGTCTTGGTCTGGGCCATGGCCACCATGGGCTCATGGCGATGCATGGAAGCAAGTTGGCTCCTATGGACAGTGCGGTGCCTCCTCAGTACCGTCGTCATGATCCCATGATCCATCAGGACCAGCACCATATCCAGCAGCACCTCCAGCATCAACACCAGCAGCGAAAGCTGCAGCAACAACAACACCATCAACACCAGCAGCAACAGCAGCAGCAGGCAAAGGAACAAAAGACCACCGGCGGCGTGGCGGCTCATCTAGACTACGACATGGACCAGATGACCGACTTCGTGGCCGAGATGGCCCATGGAATGTATGCTCTCTACCAGTCTAAGCTAGTGCTTGCAGATATTGACATGCTCCGAAGCGTCCACCCAGGAACCACGCCTCCCTCGCAGTTCCGCAAATACGTCTCCCAGATCCTTTCGTCTACGCGTCTGCCTAGCTCCACCATCCTTCTCGGCCTCTACTACCTGGCCTCTCGCATGAGGATGCTATCCTCCGCCGACGTCTACCCGACTGCTGTCAAGACATCGTCTTCGTCGTCGTCTACACCTGCTACCACCCAGGTCTACCGTATGCTCACTACCGGCCTCCTGCTCGGCAGCAAGTTCCTCGACGACAACACCTTCCAGAACCGCTCCTGGGCTGAAGTCAGCAGCATTCCCGTCGCAGATCTCAACTCCATGGAGCTTGAGTGGCTCTTTGGCTTCGAGTGGAAGATCCACGAGCGTATACACACCAAGAATGACGGATTCATGTCCTGGAAGGCTCACTGGGATAGCTGGAGAGCCAAGGCTGATGCCCGTGTCGCTGCTGCTGCGGCGGTTGCAGCCTCATCCAACGAATCCCGTGCAAAGCTCGCCCCCATTGACACAAACATCATCCACCGTCGTCATCCACTCTACCATCACGGTAGCGGCCACCACAGCGCGCTTCCCAAGGCCATGCTTTCGCCCGACGGCCCCATTCCACCACAGTACCAGCGCAGTGCTTGCCCCTGGCTGCCAACCAGCAACACCAGCACTGCTGCAACCACTCCTCTTGCTGCATCCGACTATTCACCACCTTCCGCCCCTCACACCGGGCCTAGCACACCAGATTACTTCCACTCTGTGGGTGGTTCTGGTTCAAATGCTGCCTGGCCATACAACGCTCCACCTCCATACTGCGCCACTTGGCTCCCTCAGCAACAGCAGCAGCAGCAGACATCTCGTTCCGGGCCTACTGCTCTTCCATTGTCGCTTCCTCGTTCCCAGCCACCGTCTTACGTTCATACTCCAATGTATGCCAACGCCTTCAGTCCAATCAACAATAACATCAACGGGAACGTCTGGACGGGTCACGGCCCTGGATGCGGCTGCCTCTACTGCGCAAAGAGCCATGATCTCTACTTCCCCGTCTCTTCTTTCGGAATGCAGCCTGTTGCCGGATGAACACCTTTTTCCTTCTGACACTAATTCCAAAAGTTTCGTTACAACGCTTTTTTTGATCCGTTTAGACTTTCGACTTTTCACCCAAAAAAATTCTTTCCGACGTAACGATTCGCGTTGCCAATTATTCTTCGGCTTTTTCGACTTTCCGGCTTTTCGACTTTATTCTTCAGCCTTATGCCTTTTTACTTCTTCCTTTCTTTACTTACACTTTCTCACTTCGTTCTACGCGGATGGATGATTGATGATTTTTCTCTTGACTTGATTTGAACTTGACATACATATACAACCATACCCCTTGAACTGGACCTTTTTTGCTGTTTTTCCATTTTTCCCTTTTTTTTTTTTTTTTTTTTTAATTTGCCACGCCTTGCTTGCCCTCTCATTACTTGTTATGCTATTCCCCATTTCGCAGTTGTCTTCCTCTTTTTACCCCTTATCACTCTTACTTGGGCATCGTTATTTGGAGGCGCTTCTCTCGCTATCTCCCTCATAGACATTTCCCTTTCCTTTCCTTTTGTCACGTCTCGTCTCGTCTCGCTTCGTTTCGTTTCGTTTCTTCTAGCACTGCGATCTCTGGCTCTTCGGCGTTTTGTCTTTTCACTGCAACAATATTCCCATTCTTGCTTTGTTTTGCTTTTGCCCCTTTAACAGCTATAATTCACGTTCACGACCTTCCACACCAGCACTACCACCGCAAAATTGTTTACCCTTCGCGCCTTCCCCATCATCCGAAAAATAAACCTGTCAACCGTCGACCTGTTTCAAAATCTATCCGTCTACTTGATTCCCCTTTCATACTTCCTTTGCCTTATCCGCCCTGCCTTGCCCTGGTTTGGTTCGGTTTCAGCAAGACTGATCCTGAGCTTGTTTTTCCTTCTCCTTTCATGATTTCCGGTTTACTATTACCTGGGTTTGCCCTTCGTTTCTCGCCATCGAGTTCATCTACCGACTTCGACGCGAATCCCAAAATTGCGAATAACCTCGAACTCCGAAATGCAAAAATCATCATCCAAAAAAAAAAAATCTTCAAACAAAAAGCCATAGAATTTCGATCTCGCTCTCCTTCCTTCCACTCTTATCTCGATGGGTTACTTTATTCCTTTTCTTCTTCTTCCTTTTTTTTTTTTTTTTTTTTTAATTTTGGTATTCGGTTGGCGGGCTTTCGTTTCCTCACTTTTAATATCTACTTCCATTTCGTTCATCTTTTTTTTCTTATCTATCTGCATGGTGATGGCAAAGGGGGGTTCGTTAATTAAAATATCTTTCTTATGCGTGCATCTTGCGTTCTTGCGTCTTCTCTGCCAATTTGTCAAATGTCTCGAGTCCTTCCTCTTCTTCTCCCATTCCTTCATACCTTCCCAACGCCTTGTTTTGTCTCTTACCCTGTCCCTGCATCAGCTAATTTACCTGTCTTGTGCTTTATTCGTGTCATTCTACTTACTTACCACCACCTTACACTACTCGAACTTTGAAAGAAAGCAAACAAAACTTATTAATCCACTATCCCCCCTTATTTCTCCAGTTTATTTTTTTTAACCAACTCTTTACTTACTTCAGTGGCTCCAGTTTTTTCCCTTGCTTTTATTCGCTTCTGTGTGTCTCGCTTGATTGCCTGAACTTGGTTTGAACTAAGATGGAAACAAAAAAGATGAATATACCACATACACCTTACTTTACTTTTATATTTACTTGCACTCTTGATACCTGCACACTTTCTTTTACTTCTGCTTCTCGCTCGGCTAATGAATGAATGATATCTTGTTTTTTACCCTCTCTCTTGTCCTACTGCCCACTCAAAGTCCACTCAAATACACTCGTATACTAATTTCCGATGTCTCTTGCTCTCATTTCACCTCCCTCTCCCCTGTCGTCGGCTCGGATAGAGATGGATGGATAGATGGATGGGCTCCCAGGTTCCGCTCAACCTTACCTCCTTTCTTTTCTGCTTGATATCTTGATAAACCGGCTGTACTTAGCGTCATCTACCGGAATAAACAAAAAATACAAGAAGAGGCTTTTAAGATGACTTTTTGCGTGTGTATTTGAACGTGTGTTGAATTACGTGATATCCATTACTCTTCATCCGCTAATTGGCTGGATACTTGTTATTTCTGTCACGAATCCTAGCCAATGACAGCGCGTATTTTTACGTTTTGGCTCTTACCAACCGGATTCAAGCCAGCGGCAAAAGAAGTTGAAAGTTGCAAAAGTTGAACACTCCTTCAGATTCTAGACCACCATTAACCATCTATCTGTCTATATGGATATTGGATATACCCCAGTGCAACATGAAAAAGGAAACATAAACCAAGGAAACAAGATAGGCCAGAAATTCATAACCCGACCCAACATGTGAACAAAGCATACTACTCCTACTCTTCTGCCGTCATATACCCATACTCGCAGTCATATACACGATGCTTGGTCCTTCAGGTGGACCGCACCTGGGTGTAATACCGCTGGCTTGAACCTTCGCTGGACGCAAACGCCGGAGGCTGCTGCTGGTGGTACTGCTCAAAATCATATGCTGGAAGTTTCTCCGTCTTGTACGCAGGGAGGTCCTCAGTGACCATGACACTGTCGTCATCTTCAAGGAGGGCTTGTTTCGTGGCATTCTTGGCCTTCAAGGCGCGCTTCTTTTCTCGGTGGTCTTGGATCTTTTCGGCAGTGATGTAGATGGCGGCGCCGAGGGCAAGGACAATGGCTGCCATTCTTGCAAGGTGTGAAGTGGGTTGTTTGTTTATTTGTCGACTGTTGGCGGGCTGGTAAGGTAGTTGTAGATGCGAAAAGTGTTTGTTTGATGCGCTTGAATGGGGTTAAAGCGTAGGTTGCTGTCTGGCTGGTGCCTTTGGGACTTCGGAAGTGATGATGATGGTAGGATAAGGACTGGAAAAGGGAGATATACTTATACCCATCTGAACTTCTCGGAGATGAGACTGACATCGTCAATGTCAGTGGCAGTGCTGAGGGTATCTACATGCTAAAAGCACTTCGGAGCAGAATTTGTCGTTCATCACGGAAGATTTGTGTTTCTTCCTTGTATACCATAAGCGGTACGGGGCCTGTTTATGGCTGAGATGCTGGGCTTTTGAGAGTGTATCGCCAGTCTCAGCCCCATAGCCGCCATTCTTCATGCTATTCACCAGTAAGATGGACCGTCCAAAGCCTCATGAAGCCATGCCCCTTGGAATACGCCCCCTGTCGCACTGAATACGTCCCCTGCAAGCCGCTATACGAGGTCTTGGCATTATGAATACGTTCCTGGCTAAGCTCAAAGATATCAAATACTCTTGAAGGCTCAACAGCCACAGCACGGTCAACGGAGCTGAAGACATCTACGATATCAACTCGGCTGTCGTATAGACGAGATACGGCGTTCTTAGGATCAAAATGCCATCCTCCATGAGGGCTGATGTCGAGGCAGTGCTGCTTCATCGCAGGTATATAAGAGACTACCTCTCCTCTGCCTGGTCGAGTACGATCATCTTCAGCATCATCTTCACCTCTCATCCATTGGATAGCTATATTCAAAGGTTTACTTGACGTACTTCACTTGAACTCTTTTGCTTACTATCATGGCTGCCGTCTTTGCCACTGCCGGCTTGCTGCTTGCCCACTGCGTCTCCTCTGCAGCCGTCCATACCTCCAAACACAACCACGGGTACTGCAGAGAATTGGATATCCCAGTGCTTGCTACCTCAGAGAGCGCCATCTACGATATACCCAGAGTGGACAGCAACATCGATGCCATAGCTTGGGCCATCTACTCCGATACGCGGAGCACCCCTGCAGGCGCAGCCAGAATCATCAAAAACACCACAACCTCCGATACCTTCAAAATCCACGCGCAGCTATGTGTTCCCAAAGTTTCAGGCGGAAAGAACGATATCCTGCACATTGCTACCCATGGAGTCCATTATGATTCGAGATACTGGGACCCAACCCTGGACCGTGAGAAGCAGTCCTATGTTGAAGCTACGCTAAGAGCAGGGTATCCCATTCTCACCTACGACCGCCTGGGAGTGGGGAAATCTGACAAACCTGATGCATACGATGTTGTTCAGGCTCCCCTGGAACTCGAAATTCTCCGCCAGTTGACCCTTATGGCTCGCAACGGTACTTTATACGACTTCGCAGGGAAGGCCACCCCTCCCAATGCTGCATTTAACATGGCCGCCAAACCAGTGAAAAAGGTTGTCCACGTCGGTCACAGCTTCGGATCCTTCCTTACCTCTGCGTTTATCGCCAAACACAGCTCTCTTTCCGACGGAGCCATAATCACGGGCTATCTGTTGAACAAATACCTCGGAAAAGCAGGCATGGCTTCCTTCAACGCCCAGTTCGCACCCGCCAGTTCTACCCCTTTCAACCGACCAAGTGGCTACGTCGTGTGCCAGAAGAGTGGTATCCAAACCATCTTCTTCGCTGGTGATACCAAGACCGCTTTCACCAAGGAAATGCTTGATTACGGCGACGCTATCAAACAGCCCGTTCCGATTGGAGAGTTTGCATCTGCATACCATATTATTGGGCTACCTGGTCCTGACTTCAAGGGCCCAATTCAATACATGTTGCCAGAGTTCGACTTCTACATCTGCGGTGGCGATTGCAAGGGCCTTGCGGATATGAAGGAGCTACGCAAGACGTATCCTCAAGCTTCTGAGATTGAGGTTGCCATCCAGCCGAATACCGGACATGCTTTTACCCTGCACAACAATGCTACGGCCGGCTACCAGATCAGTTATGATTTCCTGTCTAGGAATGGATTGTAAGGTTGTGGCCGTCAGCAGCGGCACCTTCAATTTGTACAATTCCTGGATACACGGCTGTTTTTGGTTATGTTATAGAGTAGCTTGCACCTTTCCCGCAATATGAGATAGATTACTAGATAGAGAAGTTAATACATTATCTGTTAGAGAACCGGAACATCTAAAACAAGGGGTAAAGAAGGTACGGAAGATAATAGAGTAGATATAGAGTTGACAGACATGGGTGGCACGGAGCAGCCCTCAGCCCCGGAGTTTCAGCCTCCAAATCTGATACTCTCTACGTTTCTCGAAAGCAAAGTGACAAATAATACTTGGCTGGGTACCAAACTTTCCCTGATCCTCAGGCAGCAGCATTCCACAGCTTTACCTGGATTTCCACACGGCTGAACCGGAATTTCTGCCTTTTGGACCACATGGCTTCGTCACCATCACAGGTCTTCCACGCGATATTACTACCCTCAGACACGGGGTATTTCGCCCTCTTCATGACCTCAGACTGGGCCTGGAGCAAGCCGCCCATGTGGATTTCCCTTGCATCGCGCCCCCAGACTCGTGGCTTTAGCCTTTGTATTTGGAATTCAATGAGGCTGAGCATGGATGAACATCTGCAGGACTCTTCAGGTGCCAAGGCAGGCCTGGTAGCCCAATAACTGATGACCAGCTTAGGGACGGGAAGATGCACAGTTTTTTTCGAGGATGCCTATATCAGCCTCACGGTTGACTGCATTTAAATGCAGTCACCTGTCTCCCTTGGTGTAATTCAGGAAGATACATAACATATACCCTTTCTGTTGTAGTTGTGACGTCCAGCAATTGGAAAGGGGATAACGAAGATGCCAACCCCTGAAAACCAGGACCAAAGAAAGACAAGAAGGCGCCACCAGAAGTCGAGAAACGGGTGCTTCGAGTGCAAGCGGCGAAGAATAAAAGTAAGCAAGCTTTACACGCATATGATTAATAGAACAGGGAATTGACATTGCCTTAGTGTGACGAGGAGAAGCCGGCATGTGTACGATGTGTCTCTGGCTTCTACAAATGCGTCTACCCAGCAACATTCACTCCCGGCAAAAAAGCCCCAAGAGACGAATTGTCTGTACCTAGCTCATCCCGGGACACTGTATCACCCTCACCAAGTGTTTCTTCATACCAGGAGCGGTCCCCGTCAACGCGTTCAGCCACTGAAGCAAGAACATTCTTCCCTTCCACGGATACCTCTGGAGAATTATCAGACACTGACTTATACCACCACTACCTACAACATACCAGCCGGACCTTAACGTACAGCAAAAATGACCAAAGTGCACTGCAGATCGGCATACCAACATTGGCCCTACAGAGCAGAACCGTCTTTCACTCTGTCCTGGCGGCGTCTGCAGCCTGCCTAGCATGCGATATGATATCCAGAAAACCTCCTGCAGAGGTGGGCGCAGTTAAACAGGCCCTGGTAACGGGTTACCGGCATTATCATTCAGCAAGTGAACGGATGAGGGAGTCGATGTCCTCCTTGGATACGTTGAAGCTGGAGCCGCTGTTAGCAAGCGCTTTGATGCTGGTTCCTTTCGCTACTGCAAGTCAACAGATAAACCACTGGCTATCAGAAAAGGGAGGTGTAGAGGAACCTCAGAAACCGCTTTCATCCACGCCGAGGGATATAATAGTTATTATGCGAGGGATAAGAGCCACTCTCCAAACCCTGGACTGTGAAAGTCCAGTGTCAGGGATTGCACCGTCTCCCGTAACGGACCCAGGAATAGATGATCATTCGATACTGCCGGAAGCCAGAGTCAAGACACCAGGTATAGCTACACCATGCAACCATACAATGGGCCCAATAATCGCGTCAACCAGCGAAGAGGCCTATTCAAAACTCCAGAAACGCTTGGATTACGCGTTATATCACTGCAATGATGCCGACGGTACATTGGCTGCCTGTGCTGCTGCTTTCGACATATTAAAGGACATCAGAAGCAATGTACTCTCCTCCCGCTATTCATCAAAACCCTCTCCATCTTCATTCTCACCACTAGACGACGTCTCTCAAGACCTTTTTGAACCCCAGAGTATGTCCTTGCCACAAGTAGCCTCATGGCTTCGATCATTCGCAAACCGGTCCGTGGCCCCACAGCCAACAGAGCCATTGACGCGGTACTTCCTTACATTCCTTGTCCAGGTTCCTCAAGCATATCTAGATCTTGTTCTCCCGCTCCTTGACAAGAGGCTTGAGAGCCCTGTTGATGCAGAGTTGTATGACACTTCTACAGGATTGACGATGGAGCAAGCTCTTGCGCTGGACATATATGCGCATTGGTCTGTCCTAATGTTTTTGGTAGAGGAAGAGTCATGGTGGATTGGAAATCTGCCGTTTGTCACCCTCTCTGGGATGGTGAACAGATTTGGGGACAATTTTGTGACTAGGCTATGGCCTGAAGAGGAAAAGGGGCGGTGGTGGCCAGGGGGAATGTTGAATATCCTGCGAGAGATTAAGCGGTATCGATAGGAAGACCTTGGTCCGATAATGCGTGTCTTAATGGCCGACACTCGTTATTACTGGCTTGGTTCTGGTATGAATTGTTCAAACTAGTATATGATACTCCCTACTTAGGGGCTGAAGGACTGTTTTAAGCTCTATCAAAAAGACATTCTGCTCCTATTGCTAGGTTCCATAGCTGAATATATGTAATAAGAAATCTATATCACAGGGTATATCGGTTAAAGATCTCAAAGCAAATTCTTGGGCTGGGAACGCATACTAGTATACACTTCCCTGGACGCTCTGTTCTTCGAGCCTGGCACGTTCATCTTCTGAATCCTCGTCGTCTTCATTAGGATAGTCGTCATCTCTATCAAAATCACGTTGATGGGTATACTTCAGGCCGGACCCCTGGCGAACGTTTCCATCGCCATTGTTAGTCGGGGCTGAAGAGCCGGTATGCTTCTCTGGTGAGGGTGATGTGTGGCCTGTTGATACACCACTATTTGAGCCTCCAGCATCTCGACCGCCTAGATGTGGTACCTCTACGGTGCCAGGGGTCTTGTCTGCCCTGGCTCCTTGACTCGTCGAGACGGTGGACTTGATCTGTAGAACCGGCTGGTCACACATCTCCGCCAGCGCGGAGTCCCCTTCATCTTGATCCTCTTGTTCATCTCCATCGTCATTCTGGTATCGGTCATCTAGTTCCATTTCTTTCTCCATGCTGCCGGACTTCTCGCCTCCAGTCACCAGTCCGGTTGTTGAAGTACTCTGGTGCAGCAGCCTCTTAGTTACTCGGTGCTTGTGACGAGCATGATCACACCCGTCTGGACATCCACCCCATACTCTCCTCGGGCTTATGGGAGATGTTAACGGCATGTTGTTAGCCTCACGCTCCCTTTCTCTCTCCTTTTTCAGCTCGGACCACGTCCGCAGCTTGTTTCGTAGAATGTATTTCCCGTTGTCCGGGTTCTTTTGCATAACCACAAACTCGCAATGATTGATATTCCGGAGATCCTCAAAGTATTCAACACTGAAATGATACCACTTCATCAAGAAAATGCGAGTCATGAGGCCATGGGTGACCAGCACGCAGACGCTGGCAAAGTCGTCATCTCCAAATAACCGCCATAGAGACTCGTTGAAGCCGCTCACTCGATCATATGCATCCGCCGCCGACTCCCCGTTGGGAATACGGTAGAAGAAATGCCCATAGTCTGCACGCTCCTGCCACATGCGCTCCATCTCGTCAGAGCATGGTTGGAAATTGCCAAAGTCCTGCTCTCTCAGCCGTGGCTCTTCGTATACTTGGATGCCCTGGCGGGGGAACGGTGACGGCGAAGGGTCATCGGAGGTGAGAGATTTGAGGATTCCCTCTGTAGTCTCTCTCGTCCGCTGGTATGGAGATGTGAAGAAGTGTATCTTGTCATCGGGCCGTAGCATCTCGCGCAGCCTCCGGCCGGCTTCGAGTGCCTGGCGATGGCCTTCGGGAGTAAGCTTGATGCGATGGTCAGGGACTGTCTGATGGATCTCCCGATTCTTGTTCCCTTCTGACTGTCCATGCCGGATCAGGATGATTAACTGACGTAGATAGAGCTGTCAGCTTCTTGTATTCTTCGATGTAGAGTAGAGACGCCTTCTCCGTACTGACTCGTGGCTTGCCCATGATGATCCTCCGCCAAAGTGCGACCTAGAGACGCTCACAAAAAGTCCCAGATACTTCCTCCAAACCAACCGAGAAGCCGAGAATCAAATATTTATATAGCTGTATCCAGGATAGCTCCGGTGTTTGCAAGGGATATAACATGAAACGGGGTCGGGTCTGGGGTTCTGGGGTTGAAGCCGTTGAAAACTCTCGGATTATCTCGAAGCTTCATAAACTAACTAACTGCCAGGAACTAAATCGGCACATCGAGAGTCACAGGCAGAAGAAGCAGACGGCCATATTTACCACCACAGCAAGTCAGTCACGGCCTCTGAAATAACCTGCCGGGGACCTTGCATTGAACCTGCATGAATGATACGTATCGATGGACTGACGAACGCCCGCGCCGGTCTCGATAATGGCAGACGCACTCTACGAGCTGCTCGTCCCTCACTTTGATGCCGCCGAAGGCTCTCCTCGACTATCATCACCACCACCGCCACCACCACCCGCGACGAGCTCGACCACTGCGCAGTATCTCAACCACATACCAACCCTAGATACAGCTTCATTGACGTCGACGGTGCTTCAGTCGCTCTCGCAGGTCTCTCATTCGAACCTCGTTTCCCTCCAGGCGCTCGCCAACAGATCCCACAAGACCTTCATCACATCCGCAGACAACCACCGGTCACTGCAGAAATCACTCCCACAGCTGGCCAGAGAGACGCAACGGCTCCGAGATGCTATACCGAAGCTCGACGAGGAAGCCGTGCGCTTTTCTTCGACGTACAGCAAGACAGGGGACAGCCAGATACTAGAGAGACGGAAGAAGGCTCTCCAGCTCGCCCGCAATGTGGACAGGCTCTCTGATATCCTAGAGCTACCGAC